TCAAAGGCTTTCCTTAAGTCAACCTTGATGGCACATCTTGCAGGGGAAGATTCCTTGTGATATCCTCTAAACAGCTCATGAGTAAGTAGGATGGGGTCTGTAATCCTTCTTCCATGTATGAAGGCTGCTTGTGATCTGTCAATGAAATGTGGAAGTGTGGATTGCAATTTGGTAGCAAGTAGCTTGGCAATACACTTGTAGACAGTGTTGCAACAGGAGATAGGTCGATAATCATGCATGGAGGATGGGTTGGGGCATTTTGGAACCAGTGTTATATAAGTGTTGTTGGCTTCAGTTAACATTTTCCCATTCCTGAAAAACTCATGGATTGCCTTAGTGACAGATCTGCCCACAATTCCCCAAGTTTTGTGAAAGAAGGAAGCACTGTATCCATCAGGTCCAGGGGCTTTCTCTTTGCTAAGCTTAAACATACAAGCTTGAATCTCCATATGTGATGGAGTCTCATCCAGGATAGAGTGGAGATGATCAGGGATCCTTTTGGTGATATGTTGCTGGAGATCATTAATGCAGTGAGTTATGGGAGGGGAACATCCAAGTAGATTTTGGAAATGAGCCACCACTTCAGCCTTGATTTCATCCATATCTGTGATCACTTGCCCAGTGTCTGTGGTGAGAGAGATAAATTTCTTTTTATTGTTCCTTGAAGAAAGAGATTTATGGAAGTAAGAAGAGTTACTGTCTCCCAATTTAAGCCAAGTCATCCTTGATTTCTGCCTCAACATGTCTTCTTGGCAGTTAGCAAGATAGAGATATTCTTTAGTAAGAGAATTTTCTAACTGTCTGAGGAGGCTGTCACTTGGATTGTTGTCAAGGTCCATTTGGCATGCATCAAGCTCAAATTTAACTGCATGGAGTTTGGACTCAATCCCAGAGAACTCCTTTTTGCATTTTTCCTTAAGGACCTTCTTCAAAAGTTTGAGTTTCTGTACAACTTGATACATTGATGTGCCTTTGATGTAAGTACTCCACACTTCCTGGACTGAGGGAAGGAATTGGGGGTGGGAACTCCATGCATTGAAGTATCTGAAGGGAATACATCTACTAGGAAGGTGGAAATTCATGGATACCAAAATGGGGCTGTGGTCTGAAATGCCAGGTGTTAAAAAACTGCACTCAGACAATGGAAATGAACTTGTCCAACATTGATTAACCAATGCTCGATCCAGCTTCTTTGCTATACAGGCTGTGCCAGAGCTCTTGTTACACCAAGTGTATAAAATCCCACTGAATTTGAGGTCCTCAAGTTCAGCCTGTTGAAGACACTCCTTAAAATCTGTCATAGCTGAATTCCACCTCAAGGAGCCACCATGTTTCTCTCTGGCATCAGGAATGGCATTGAAGTCCCCCATCAGTAGCCATGGGAAATTAGAGAAGTTGGTTGAGTAGTGGATAATGTTTTCCCACAGCTGGTTCCTTTCAATTGCAAGGTTAGCAGCATAAATAAAGGAGGAAAAAAATTTAATATTTTGACCAATAATTGATATGTTACAATGTATGGCTTGTCTACTTGTGTCAATCACAGATAGATCAATCACATTTGGGTTCCATAGGACCCAAATTCTTCCCAATTGTGAAAAGGAATAATTATGGGCCATGTACCAAGTAGGAGCAAGGAATCTGTGAACAGATTCAACATTCAAGGGGGAAATTTTGGTTTCAATGATTGAGATTAAAGCAAGTTTCTTATCAGAGATTATTTTCTTAATCTCTGATTGTTTAGAGGGTTGATTCAGCCCCCTAATGTTCCATGTTAGGAATGACATCATTGGAAAGATGGAGAGGGGAACTTTCTGGATGTTTGTGGCCTGGAGGGGTACCATTCAACATCAATTCATAGCTGCTACTCGATTTCCTTCTTGCTACTTTCTTCATTGATCTGACAGTAAACTTCTCATTCAATTGAATTGCAGGTTGCTGAAGGTTGTTACTTGAGTCAGGTGAGGCTGTTGCAGAACATGATTGGAGTTGTAATTTCCTTGGTTTCCTGTATTGAGGGTAGGTTGTTGGTGAGGTGGGGGAAGCTATGTGGGTAGGCGAGGGGCTGATTGGTGAGAAGTTTAATCTTTTGGAGCAAAGTGGAGAGTGATTTGGTGATTGTGTAGATTGTGAAAGGGCTGGGCTTGCAAAGGTATTTTGTACCATTGTATGTGATGAGGAGTGACTATGTTGGTATGTTGGAGTGGAGGGGGCACTAGAGATAGGATTGATGAGGGGGCTGAGGTTATGTGGTAAGCAATTTAGTGGTGAGAATTTGTTTGATGTAGTGGCATTTTGGGTTAACATTGGAGGTTCTGCAGTTGCTGGAGCTGGGTTCCTCTTTTTCTTCCTGACTGTGACCCATTCTGTTGATGGAGGGAATGGTGCTGGGCTGTTGTCCTTTGGTGATGGGTTAGTTCTAGGGAAATTCTTGTTGTTTGGAGGTTTTATGTAATTGAGGGGGCATTGGACTTTATTGTGGCCAATGTGGTTGCATTTGTTGCAGTATTTTGGTAGCCATTGATATTCAATTCTAATCTGCTCAAGGCTGCCATCTTCCATTCTTAATTGCATCTCGTACTGCAGTGGCTTGGAGAGGTCCAGATTTATACATATTCTTGCAAATTTGAGCTTAGTGATATTTTCAGTTGCTTCATCTGCATAGAGAGGTTCTCCTACTGAGCTGGCAATGTAGCTGAGGCCCTTGGCTGTCCAATAATTGTAGGGAACATTGTAGAACTTGACCCAGGTTGGAATACAGCCTGTTTGTGGGGAGTGGGAGATGTTTTTATGGTTCCATTTCTGCAGTGAGAAGGGGTGACCTGCAATGGACCATGGTCCCATTGATAAGACTTTTCCAGCTAATGAGGTGGAGGAGAACCTGAAGATGTAAGAATTTCCTTCTCCTAATATTGTTTCTGTAAGGCCATGCTTCTTCCAAAGTTTTGTAGCAGCTTCCTGGATGACTTTAAAAGGGATTCTCTTGTGGATAGATATCCCTACCAGATGAGAGTCAGCCCAAAAATGAAAACCTTCCTCTGTGACTTCTTTTGGAGGGTCAATGATGTTAGTAGAATGAGGGAAAAGGTGGAAGAAACTCGAATTTCATTGTCTGTTGGTTAATGGGTGGTTGTGATGATGCAGATGATTTGGCATGTTGGATGGCAAGGGTAGGTGTGCAGTGTTGACTAGTGTGTGGTTCTGTAAGGGTGAGGTTGATGGGGACATGAGATGGAGGTATGGTATCCACGTGATTGACATTATCTGTGGAGGTGTGGTTTGGTTGTATACTAGAAGTAGGTTGTACAGTAGGATTTGGGAGTTCACTGATGGGAATGCTAAAATTTTCTTTCTCAATATATGTGCTAGGCTGTGTAGGTGGTAGGGATTTTGATAGAGTAGGATTGACCATATTGTTAGAATTCAAATTTAAATTCAAATTCAAATTTGAGTTCAAACCTGGGTCCACCATGGTTGTCCGATCATCTGAGGTGGTGGTGGTTGGTGGAAGGTGGTGGAGCTGCAGCAGGAGTTTGAGTTCATTGACCTCTGCCTTCAGTTCTGAGATGCTATTCAAGTAGCTTTGATGTACCTTAGGTTGGGTTTCTTGCTCCTTGTGCTGTGCTAATTCACTTCTTAACTCTGAGATGGTAAGATTTTTCTCCTTGAGCAGATCCAAAGCTTTCCCCAGGTTTTCATCCTTCCATTGTAGCTCTTCTGTGAGGCGTTCAATTTGATGCTCAGGAGATTCATATAAGAGTGGGTTAAAATTCCTTGGCAGCTTACAAGTTGGACTTGTGTTTTGTTCATGCTTTTGAGGTGGGCTTTGTGGTTGGTGGTGAGTGGGCTCGTCAGTGGAGGTGGGGATTAGGTTTGCAATACTTGTTCCTCGAATTGGCAAGGAGTTAGGGGGAGGGAATGATTGTCCATTGAGTGAAGGTGGCAGTGGTGGGGGGTATACTTGAATTACTGATGAAGTTGAAGGGGGTTTTTTGTTGTTAAGAGTAAGTGGTGTATGGTGCTGGTTAGTACTTAATGGTTTCTTCAGTGCTGTTGGTAGTTTTGGTGCTATAGGAGGGTGAGTTTGTTTATGCACAGGAGTAACTGGTGGTTTCAGGTGATTTGGAATGGGGTTCTTGACTGAGGGCAGTTTATGGTGCGCAGGAATTTTCTGTTGCAGATAATTGAGAGGGTTAGCCTTGGTTTGTAGTAATGAGATTGTGGAGGTTTGGTTGAATTGATCTTCTGCTTGTATGGATGATTGTAGGTTTGATGAGGATGGGGAGAGAGGTGAGAGGAGAGAGCAGGTTTGTCCATCGCGAGGCTTTTTTATTCCCAAATTTAGTTACATGCACGAGAATGAGATTGATAGCACTAAAAACAAACTTGATTATCGGCTTACTGTCACAACCAAGTTCAGGTGGTGCAGGATAGTCATGGGAGGATAGAAGGTGGTGCGACCAACGCATTGGAGTTGAGGTGGGTAGAGAGAGAGAGTAAATCCGAAGAGGGTGTCGAGTAATTTTTTAAAAGCAATAAACTCAAACCTCGGGAGTGTTGGAGATTTACTTACCCCAGGGTACTGTATATTTTTCCCTCTAAGAGGCCTAAGATTGCCATCATTAACAAAATAAATTAATTAAATTTTTATAAAAAATGATTCTTAAACAAGAAAGGATAAGAACAGATCCCAATCCCAAATTGATAAGTACTATCTAAATAATGGATTTGGACTTTGGGTGGATTTAAAATTAGGACTCCCAACAATCCCAAGGCCGCCAAACATACCCTAAGAATCTCACTTCAGTAAATTGAAGTTTGTTTGGGAGCACACTTTGGCACTGAGATGGGAAGAAATATAGTACATCCTCCAATCCCAAATCCAAGCTCCAAGCCACCCATTCGGTGCTCTCAAATCATTTCAGGATTCAAATAACTAATGCAAATGACATTACCATATGTCAATAACCCATATATTGCATAAATTTCTTCCCTTTATAACAAGACACAAACTCCGCAGGATGCTAGATTAACATAACCAAAAAACCATGTCAAGAAAACATTCGTTCCACAAAAAAACAACACAAGACAAACCCTAGTAAGTGCCGGAACATATAAATTCTTGTTTAACCTTCTCAACTATGCTTTTGTTATACCAGATACGGTCAAGCTTATTATAACACTGCTTTGTGACTCCAGAAACCATTTAGTATGGCTCTACTGGTGCACGGAATTTCGCTCCCGCATAGATCGCCGCAGATCCCAATTCTTCTTCAATCCTAAGAAGCTGCAGTCCAGAAAAATATATCACATCTATCAGTTCACCAACCCCTAAGAGAAATTACAGATTAATGTGCAAGATGGTGTAACTAAAAGTGGTATATTATCATAAAAATAGGAAATCCAATTTCTCTACAAAAACCAAATCCAAGTGACCCTGTGACCCCAAAACTATTCACCACACGGCAGTGATCCATTGAAAGACAATACTACGGCTAGCTGGTCTGTGACTCTGGCAAGCTTTGGTCGGGGCATTTCTACGAGTGAGAGATCTAAGTACTATGCCCACACAAAATAAGCCCATAGGTGAGTTCATGACAAGAAAACCAACAACTTATCTTCGCTACCAAGCTTTGTTCGGGGCATTTCTACGAGTGAGAGATCTAAGTACTATGCCCACACAAAATAAGCCCATAGGTGAGTTCATGACAAGAAAACCAACAACTTATCTTTGCTACCAAAACAAAGTTACAGGTATTAAACATGAGATACATTCTGTGTGTGTGTGTGTGTTTTTTTTTTGTCAAAGGATAGAAATATTGATAAAGCACAATCATGACAACCCAAAGATGATATAGTTTACCTGATTGTACTTAGCAAGGCGTTCTGATCTGCAAGGAGCTCCAGTCTTGATCTGACCCTGTTCCATTATAAGCACTCATAATCAGAGGACAAGAACTAAAATCCCCAGTTAGGAAACACTTAAACTTCATATCCAGTACCAAGAGTGATCAAATCAAATAATCCAAAAGCATTTCACCAATCACAAAATGTCTGTAAAAATAAAAAACAAAAAACATGGAGTGCAGTAACTCACAGTAGCCAAACCAACTGAAAGGTCTGCAATGAAAGTATCTTCAGTCTCACCACTAAATTGTACAAAGAAGAAAAGATCAGTGGTGCCATCTCAGACCACAGAAATAAACTATAACAAGCTGAGTATTTGGTGTTTGAGCATGTGTGTGTGTGGGGGGTGGGGGAGTGTTGTACATACCTTCGGTGACTAGCCATAACACCCCAGCCTGCGTGTTTTGACATTTTCACAGCTTCAATGCTTTCAGTAACAGAACCAATTTGATTCACCTAAGCAACCATAAAACAGAAGTTCGGTAAATTTAGCCGGAGAAAGTTTTAACTACGGCATACATTTTGTGCAATGTGTGTAATCAACTCAAACAAATGGTATAAAGTATTTCATAATTCTTCTAAAGAATGTACCTATACACTACAATTCCTTGTACCTCACATGCACAGGCACACAAAATTAAAACATAAGAAAAAGGAAAAAGGAAAAAGACAGCGACTATTACCTTCAGAAGAAGGGCATTGCAAGTCTTCTCCTTGATTGCTTTCTTAACACGCTGAAGCAGTCACAAAGAGCAAGACCTTAGTATAACATACATACTCTTCAAGACTTCTCTAGATTAGGTTAAGAATTTTACCGTAGGATTTGTGACAAGGAGATCATCACCAACAATTTGCACTTGCTCACCAATCTCACTGGTCATCTTTGCATAGTGCTCCCAATCGTCCTGATCAAATGGGTCCTCTATGGATACAATTGGGTAATCAGCCACAAATGACTTGTAGACATTCTTCAAACTGTCACCCGATATCTTTTGTGACCCATCATTGTTCTGCAACACATAAAGACATCGGTTAATCTAGTTTTAACTTCACATCACGAGTCTTCTTTTATTCTTCTTTTTTTTTTTTTTTTTTTTTTTTTTTGGGTACTTTAAAGAACAGAAAATGCAACATAATTGTAGCTCTTCACAGTTTCTTTCAGGCATGAGAAAATGGTGGCCAGAATCATGCAATTTACTAATCTATTGCCATTAAAACTGGGGAAAATTAGAGATATGATAGATACCTCCTCCTTGAAATTCAAATCATAAGTCTTATCATTGTTATCATAAAACTCTGATGCAGCAACATCCATTCCGATTACAACCTGCAAGGAAAGGCAATCAGTTGACTGATACAAAAACAATACCCTAGGAGCACCTACTCAGCAATTGAGAAGGAAGGAAAAGATAAATTAGAGATAAGGTAAATTACCTTTCCGGTATAACCAGCTTTTGCTATAGCTGTCTTCAGCAGTTCAAGGCCCTCTTTGTTTTCCTGTAGTTGAAGATTTTACAAATTCAATCCAAATAATTAGTTGGGAAAAACATAAAACTTAGATTTAGAAAATGGTTTCGCAGTTCTAAATTTTTACAAACCTTAAAACATACACAAAAAGTAATTGGAATCTACATACCTGAATATTGGGAGCAAAGCCACCTTCATCACCAACATTAGTGGCATCTTGACCATACTTTTTCTTAATTACAGCCTGGAAGAACAAAGAATAGGAAACACGATGAGCATAGGCAGTGCCAATGATTAGCAATAACATTTAAAGTGGGAGGGGAAGCCACCTTCAAGTGATGATATACTTCTACACCCATCTTCATGGCTTCATTGAAAGAAGAAGCCCCAACAGGGAGAATCATAAATTCCTGCATTGCCAATTTGTTGCCTGCATGTGAACCACCATTGATGACATTGAATGCAGGTACGGGCAGCACTAAATTCTTATTTCCAGCAAGATTGGCAATGTGCTGCGTGACAGGAACAAAAAAATTAAGCACTCGGAACATGCATCATGTAATGTAATTGAACATCATGCAGAATTGCAGGCACCTTGTAAAGGGGGATCTTATTCACCATAGCTCCTGCTTTGCAGACAGCAAGTGACACAGCCAATATAGCATTCGCACCAAGCTGACAGTTTAAAATAGGGGGGAAAAAAATCATTTGGGTGGCAATATCATCAACAGAAAAGAACAATGAGATGCCAACGTAACTCCTGCTTGAGGAATGAGATTCAATGTACCTTTTGTTTACACCAGCCCCATTCATTGACCGTTCCGTCAAGCTCTTGCACCATGAAGTTGTCAATTTTGGTCTGCTCTGTTGGGTGCTGTAGATGCATATGACAAAATACCTAATCTATTAATATTCAATCGCTTTATGGGCATTACAACAAAAAGAAAAGTGATGTCAAAAGGATGATAGGGCAGACCTTTCCAATCAATGCAGGTCCAATGATCGAATTCACATTCTCCACAGCCTGAACTCAAAATACAAATATTTATAGTCCATTTAGATGTCTCTAAGGTGATCTACAAACAAATTATAAACTCATTGCATATAAAAAAAAACCCGAGGATTTATCTAAGCACTTCTTTGATTTATAAGTATAAAGTTATTTATATAGCATGATTCCAGATCAACCCATTCACATAAAATGTAGAACAGAATATGGCAGTTTCTAGATCTATTTAGAATGTGAGTCATGTCCTGCAAATCATGCATTATATGAAAAATAGGTATGTTTAAACCATTGAATAATAGTAAGATCAAGCTATTGGGCATATCACAAAAAAGATGGGATTTTCTAAGACTGCAAATTGAGTATTTACCCACCTTGAGTACACCTTTTCCAAGGTAGTCAGATCCCCCATCTCTCAGTTCCAGAGCTTCATAAATACCTTATTAATCCAACAAGATCAACAAAGATGATGTGAGTCAACAATAATCCTCTACATATTCTCAATTCAATCAATATAAACTTAAATCAATACATGCAATCATTTCATACAAACGCACAGACACTCTGGTTTTACCTGTCGAAGCACCGCTGGGTACAGCGGCCCTAGCAAATGTTCCATCGGAGAGAGTGACATCAACCTGAAATTCTCACCAAGTTCAGAAGTTCCCACATAACTCTAAATAAAAAAACAATAGATGGAATTGGAAATCTAAAGTAAACTAAATTAATCCAAATACTAAGATAACGCTCAGTTAAGTTGATGGTTGTATTATATTTTCTCGCGTCAAGATCAATGAAGATTAGATCCAAATTTTTTCTGTAGTATTTTTCCTACTCTTTCTCGGTACCCAAACAAAACAACGGAATAGCATTATAGAGATATCAAGTCGTTACTAGTATGCATCGTAATCAATTTCATAAAAAACTGTTTGGTTAACAAGAAAATTGAAGTAAAACAATCAGAAAATTTTGAAAGTCTCAACTAAACTAAACAAAACTAGTCCAAATAGTCAGATCACGCCAGTTTGCATTCGATTTTCCCTCGTCAAGACCAAAAAATGATTCGACAACCAAGATCCAAATCATTTCTGTAGTATTATTCCTACTCTTTCTCGGTAACCAAACAAAACAATGAAACAGAACAGCCAACTCCACTACTACTAGTACGCATCAAAATCAAAAGTCCTGTTCATGAAAACTGAAGGAATCAAATAAAGCGCTTACTTCGACTGTTGGATTTCCACGGCTGTCGAAGATCTGACGAGCTTTAACGGCCTTGATCGTCGTCGCCATTATACCCAAACAATACTTTCTCTAGGTTTTCTCGAAATTTTTCTCAGAAATAAAGCAGACAAGTTCAGTGTGATTTTGGGTTCGGTTGAATAGTAGTACTTAAACCGAAAGTCTCGTGAACATCTACCAAGTGTGATTTGATCTCACCCGTCGGATGGTGAGGAAAAAGGAAACTATGTGCACGGCCGTGATCGCTTTACTTGGCCGTCACGAGAGGACGTTTTTGGAGATTTCAGTGGGCCCAGTTGGCTCTTGATCTGGAACCTGGAGAGAGGGAAAAATAGAAGAAGGTTTTGATACTTGTCAACTTTCCAGAAAGACAGAATGGTGGTTGGTTGGTCTAAAAGTCTAATTTGGGGCGCCCATTATTTTGATATTTTGATAAACAGCGGCTTTTTTTTTACACTGTTTAATGCGTTAATGGTTTTCTCTCGACAAGAAAACAAAGTATTCTTTTATCTTATTAGATACTTTGGGCTTGGGTCAGGATCAGGCCCAGGCCCAACCCTACTTGACCGATATATAAAATTCAAAGCCTGGGGCAAAATGCACAGCTTTTTCAATATGTTTGCGCTAGCAAAAAGTATCGGTTGTGTTGCTCGTCAAAAGTCCATTTCGGCTTTTAGTGAAAACAATATTGGCTTGTTTTGGTTTATTTTGTTGGAAATAGTTTTTGTTTTTTTTTTAGAATTAAAATTTAAAAAACTGTACAAAAATTTAAGAATTGTTTGAGGAACAAACTAAGCAATTCTTAAATTTTTGTACAGTTTTTAAAATTTTAATTCTAAAAAAAAACAAAAACTATTTCCAACAAAATAAACCAAAATAAGCCAATATTGTTTTCACTAAAAGCCGAAAAAAAAAAAAAAACTGACTTATAATCTGCTTGGATATGTTTTGAAGAATAGTTTTCAAAATTTTGTTTTATTTGGTTGCAGTTTTTGGAAAACTGTTTTATAAAAATCAAGTTATCAAAAAAAAACTGCTTTCAAAGAAATGTTTTTATAGTTTTTTTAAAATAGTTTTTTATTTCTTGAATTCTTAAGAATTGTTTTCAGAAAGTTGAACAGAATAGTTTTTTTTTTTCTCGAGCTATTTCTTAGATGCAGATATGTAAGTAGGGATAGCAATTTGTTTCGTGTCGTGTCTCGCCTTTAATAAGACGTGGGATTGGAGAAAGGATGAGTTTAAATGAAAAAACAAATCGGGACGAGTAGGGTCAGTGTTGCGTCACTTCAATTGGATTGATTAACAATGTGGTATACCGTGGAAGCAAACAATCTTAAATTTATATATACCACTTCCACTAAGTATAGCAAAGTGGGGAGGGATCAAACACGAAGATTATAGGGGGTCAAATCAAATTTAACATCAATAAACATATGATCAAAAAGATAGTGATTGGTTTATTTATAATTAATGTTGAAATTCACCTTTCTAAAAATGCAACTAAAGAGGATATTAATGATCAAGTTAAATGAAGATAAGAGGAAGCGATACGTAGGGCATGGAATTCACCTCAAAGCCCTTGTAATCACACCAATTACATTCATATTTTGTGGAAACAAGTGTGTGTAATAAAGATGTGGCTACAAGCACACATAAAAAGGCAAGATAATATTATAATTATCACTAACAAGCATGAACCATAAAAATTAAGCATGAATTATATACCTAACTACAATTAAACTAAAGGTATAATACAATCCATCAAGCTTAAGTATGAATTATCAAGCTAAATGCAATTGTATCCAATTAAAACTATTGCATAACCATCATCAACCACAATTACAAAGAGTGAATGATATAGAGATTAGTCATCAACAATCTAAACATAAGACAACATAGAGATTAAATGAAGATCAATCGAAGAATTTAAGTATTATCATATTTGGTACAACTAAATTGAATACACAAGATCACACAATTCATATGCACAAAGAATTTCCCCCAAATTGAATACAATTGATATGAATACTTGAGTTTAGGGCTTCATCCAAGCCTTAAAAGAGAAGCTATATGGCCATAGAGAGGATTGATGTCGTCTTTGAAGCTTCAAACTCCATCTCTAAGCTCTGCCACACCTTCTTCTCTAATCATTGAGAGCAAACCTTAGAGAGCAAAAGTAGAGAGAGGTCACAAGATTTAACCCCAAATCAAGTCTACTTTGCAAAATGGCTTCAATCTCTATTTATACTTGACTCTAAGGGTCCAAAAATTTTCAGAACCCATACACTAGGTCAGCCCCTTGATTGCACCCCGAACTGTCTTGAAGAAGGCTAAAAATCTAAAGTTCACAGCTGATTTGCCCGAACTCGATTGATCGGATCAAGTGTCCGATCAATTGAATTCCGAACAATGCCACAATGTAATCTGATCGATTGGATTTCCTTGAATTATGCCCCAAGCTTGCCTTCTTTACTCCATTCTGCTGCAATCTTCAAAAGAACCTTTAAGCACTAGATTTAGCTCGGATTAGCCTTAAGCACCTGAAAATGGGGAATAAAGCAAATTAAGACTAAAATGAGAAAATAAAGATAGATTAAAGTACTAACATATGCAAGGATATAGGCTGAAATGTGCATATTTCAGCACTTATCACACCCATAAACTTACATACTGCTAGTCCCTTAGCAATGAACAAAGGAAACAAAATGAAATTAACGCTAACTAACTCCGTTTTCGTAGGCATCATGGTTGCATTTAGTGTATGCAACAAGCCTTTTAAACCCTTAGGTTACCCATAGATAACAAGTGAAGTCTCATGAGGGTTTTAGAAATGATACCCACAAACATTCATAGCTCATCAGCACTTGTGCTGAACCTTAGTTTATACAGAAAACAAGCCTTAACAGGTTGTATAACTATAATGTACCATCTCAAACCATTGTGTAATCATATCACAAGATGGTAAAAGACAATACTACCCCTGTGTGTTGATTTAAGCCACTGTACACCACAATGCTGATAGTATAAGCCCTTGTAAGCTTTGTTATACCTTTTTTTGACATTAAATAGCCAAACACACTTGGTACAGAATAGGACCAACAGTCCCGTGGATAAGTAGTAGAAATGGCAGAACGTGGTTGCAAGTGAAGCGTGAAATTTGGAAACATGGAACACGTAAAGGATTTTTAATGGAATAATGGTTATTCCCGACCAGTGAAAAGTCGTGCAAAAATAACAGAAATGTGGAAAGACATTGTTCCACACGTGTAAGCACTATAAGAAGGCCAAGGAGTACACAGGACACTTGGCAAAATCCGGTCAAATTAATGTAACTGCCTACAATAACTGCCATAAGAAAAATATATAAACAAGACAATGTTGTAACTTTAAGGGTCTGTCCAACGCACAACTCAAACAACATTTTCAATACAATATATTTTCAGCTATCTTTACATTCCTGTAATGTAATTTCAATATATTTAGTTTTAATCTAGTACTTTCATACTTTACATTCCACTATTCCAGCACTTTACTTTGAGTCTTACTTTCCTTAGTCGTATACAAATCCCAAGTACTTTTTCAAAGGCAAAAAAAACTCTAGAGATGTCATTCTAGAAGTTGTCTAGTCTTATAATCTTCCATTTGAAATATTGTTGGATATTTCTTTGGAGCTATAAAAGTTCTTGGCAAGCTGGTCGATTGTTTAGGGATTGATCTTTTTACGAGCCAAACACATATATATTCATATTTCTAAAAATTGATTTCTCTCCATGATAGATATGTGATGTGACGAGACAATGCCTATAAGGCTTAAATATATTCTGTTACCAACTCTTTTACAGAGAACTTCAAATAAAAAATTATATATAAATATTCTCAAAATCCAGTCGGAATTAGTATAAATTAGTATAATGAACCGGTTAAAATCAACTCTTTTGTTTGCATTCATTCCCCAAAACAAACCTATTACAGCAATAATTAACTTATATACGAAAATCATATCCAATTTTTATGACCATCAAAGCTTGAATTTTATTATTATTATATGGACACATTCATAATGTTTTTTACTTGGCGTGATAATATGGTGTTGATTTTTTTTTTTTTTATTATATATATATATATATATATATATATATATATATATAATAAAAAAAAATAAAATCAACACCATATTATCACGCCAAGTATATATATATATATATATTGTGTTTTTTCAATGAATTTTAAAAAATGAAAATAATTTGTGGTAGGTGTAAGGATGATAGAGAAGAAATAGGGTGAGAATGGAATTCATGTTGTTTTATATCTATACTTTATGAACGAGGAGTTTTGGTTTTATATTACTAGATCCAAAACCAAGACCATATCATAACGGGTGAGACACAAAACAAGGACATTTCATAATTGAGACTCATTTTTAAATCATGAAACATAAAAGTTTTTCAAGCATGGCACTAAGTTTCATTTGTGGAAAAAATTAGTGGCTTGATTAATCTGAGCAAATAGAATAAGCTTGAAGAAATGTCCAAGGAATATACCAACTCTTTCCTGACACCAGTTTTCCACTCATTTAAGTGAACTTTCTTCTTCGAACAAGAAGATATATATAATTGTTTTCGTATCGCCTTAGCCATGTTCTTATTTAAGCTCTCAAAATTTGAGATTTTCAAATTTCTTCTTATATATGACAGCTGCCAAATTTTTTTAGCAAGTCTCTCATTTTTCAAAACGGTGCCATTTCTCACCAGTCATCACCCACTCGCATCTCTATATATATAATATACATATATATTATATATAATATATATAAATTTTTGAAAAAAAAAAATTATATAAAAAATTATATATATATATATATATATATGTCCTTTTTTGACTAGATATTTTAGATTTGTACTTCTTTTTAATTAGGTTTAATTTTAGTTTCCTTCTAATGTCTACAACTTGATTTGGAATGTGGCTAATATTAATATTACTGATGCAAATATGAATTGTGCGGATGGTAATTGAAAAAGAATAGTGATTGTATTAAAAAATAGCATTTTGCGTGGAATGTATCATTAGAGCAGAATTGCTAAAATGTAACATTTTGATACTATACCACATGTCAAAATATAGATTTAGCATGCGAAAATAAGTTTTAGCATTGGAGATGCTCTAAGGCCCCAATCAATAGAAGACTCCCAAAAAAAATTATTTTCTTGTGTGTTTTACTTCTTTAAAATTTTTATTTTCTTCTCAACCAATACGCGGAAAGGCCTGAAATTTTATTACTTTCTTATATTATTACCTTTTTAAAATTTATTTTTCCTTAAATTATTGTACCCCAAAATTTTATTTCCTTACTTTTATTCCCTTATAAAACCTCAAGTCCCACAAATTTTATTTCCTTATTTTATTTTCCTTATTAAACCTAAACCAATAGAAGAGATTTAATAGTAGGCCCAAAGAATTAACTTTTAATTTCTATCCTTATATAATTATTTTTTTTCCTCCTCGCCTCCCTCATTATAGTTTTTTTTTTAAAGGTTCTTTACACCTACTCTATTAATTATTGAGCATATATATCTATTGGACTGATTATATATATACGGAATATTAAAAAATAAATACAAAATTTGCATACAATAACTACTATGTAAGATAAAAAAAATTCAATTACTTACTTTACATCTCAAAAAGTAAAAAAAAAGTAATTATTAAACAAACTTAATTAATTATTATTTAAAATTAATATATTGAATATTCAAAGCCACTTTTATATTGTTCGCCTAAGGTCTCAAACAATATTAAGCCACTCTGTCTTAGTTCTTGCTGATATTGATGGTTATGTGTGTGTGCGTGTATATATATATATATATATATATATATATTGGTGATTTGTTATGTATTGGTTTTTTATTAATAATTTTTTAAAAAAAAGTTAAGCCAGTTGTATAAATTTGCAAAATAATTACCTAAACTCCAGCTTGGGCTGAAAAACTAGGCCATTGACCCAAAAGAAAGAAAACAGATCATGACCAAACCCAAAAGCCCAAAATTCACTGTTGCATGATATTTTTGAACATTGTTGACTTTAAAATAGCATCTCCCCACCACAAAAGCAGTGTCTTATTAGACAACATTTAATTATGTTTTGGGATCATAGTTATGTATTATACAGTCTCGCGCCTAAATTAAACGTCTTGTTTTTTAAAATTTAACTTTTTAAGAATATTTTTTATTGTATTAAATCATACTTGGTATTTGATATATCTGCAAAATTATGAACAAAACAAACAAGTTAATCTCATTTTATTATTACTTTATCTACTTTAATAATATAGAATATGCAAAGTTATATTTCATTTTACTTGCACGTTGCAATTCAGGTGACTCCATGAACCTCAAGCAACAAAAATTTGGTTGAATTAAATAAGATATAAAACCATTTCCTATAATATTTGCAAATTATGTAATGCTAACCTATTTCTTCAACATTCCAAATTCGTTTTGGATTCATGGATTAATTATTTAAAAAATAAATATTTTAGTGATTTATTTTAAAAAAACATTATTATTATTATAAAAATTGAGAAAAATATTTACCCTGTATTTTATTTCATAAAATAAAATTTTAAATTAAAAAGTTCTCAAAAATACTTGGGAATTAGCTGACTAGAAAAAGTAAACAAGTACCCCCAAAAATTCTTAGTTTATGTAAATAATGATTATTCTCTAAAATTTATTTTTTTAAAGAGTAGTAATAAAGAATTTCACCACTGAAATTAACTTCTATACGAAAACCTGATCCAATTTATATGACCATCAAAGCTTGAATTTTATTTATTTATTTACCATTTTCCTGGCAAACCATGGAGAGAGGAGCTCTACTTAAATTCTACCAATTAAGTTACTGAATAATGCCCGATTATAAAAACTTGATTAATCAACTGCTATTTGCTAAGACTAACCAAAATAGGGAGCTAGGATTTTCATAAACTTTAAACAAAATATGAATTTGGGGACAAACTCAAAGGCATACGCTTTGAATATCAAAATAGGAAGGGTATGTGTTTATTTGAAACTCCACGCACATAATGTTTTTCAATTGACTTGATAATATATTGCTGATTTTATTTTTTTGTGTTTTTTCACTAAATTTTAGAAAAATGAAAATAATTTGGGTTAGGTGTCAGAATAATTGAAAAGAAATAGGGTGAGAACGTTATTTTAGAGTTTGTGAAGAGTCCTACGAGTCATTTGTCGCTAGTGGGATTAAATGATTTTGAATGTTGATTTTAGATTCTAGAAACAAAAAGAGAGTGGAGGGGTTCTAAGAACAGGTGATCCGAAAGGAGACTAAATTACACATAAATTATTTTTATTTTTTTACTGTGTATTTGAAGCTTCAACCGTGCAAGCGAGAGGGGAAAAATATATATATCATTTGAATTAATTAGTTTTTTTTTTTTTTTTTGGCAGGTAAATATATATATGCATATGACTTGAATTAAAATCTTGATTGTATATCACTAATCGCATCTTATGATGCTCAAAGTCTGAATTTTTTCTCTAATTGGGCACCGCCCGTTATACGATTAGCATCACTAAAGAGGTAGAATATCGAATTTTTTATCTGAAGTTATTCTATTAAATAACATTACCTGTGACGTTCCGAATTTTCTCAAACCCGGGTATTTCAATTTAACCCGAAAGTTGACCTGATAACGGATCTAAATCACTGAATTTAAAAGAAAACAAAATGCGGAAGCGATATTTTAAAACTGGATAATTTTAGCCCTAGAGGCAAAATGGTGATTTCCAGAAAATTATGACCGGACGGAAGAGAACGGCCTAAAATAAAAATGGACGCCGAAGGGGGGCAACCAAGTTCGGACAAATTAAACAGTTCCTGAACATTTAGTTTTTGTTACTTTGACATCTTTTATTCTTAGAACTCCTCCACTTTCTTCCCATTCCTAGAATTCAAAATCAACATTTAAAATCATTTAATTTAACACGCTCTTAAATAACATGGATTCCATTCTCACTATTTCTTCTCAATCACTCCTTTTACCTGATACAATTATTTTTTATTCTCTAAAATTCTTTTCTTTTTTTTTTTGAAAAAAAAAAAAAAAAAACATTATCATATCACGTCAATTAAAAATATTATGCACGTGGCCTGAGTTTCAAAAATACACATACTAATCTTATTTTGATATTCAAAGAGCATGCCTTTGACTTTGTCCTTGATTCATATTTTGTTTAAAAATTGTGATAAGTTCTAGCACGAGTATTTCAATCAACTGTCAAAACACAAGAACCCATAAAAAAGAGAAACAATACAATTACTAAACTTCATAAATCACCGACGCACCAGTGGCCTAACGATATCGGCCTCTTACTTTCTAAAAGGAGGTTAGAAGTTCAAGTCTCAAAAATTTTAAAACATGTGTGTAAATACCAATAAAAAAAAAAAAAAAAAACCTAGACTTCATAAGAAAGAGGAAAATTTAATATAACATCCAAATTAACTGAATTGGGTATCTATGTTATGTATGAATGGATATTATAACCATCGTTCAACCTATTCTGACAAAATCAATGATAACAGAATGGTAAAAAGATCATCGACCGATATATGGGTTGTTAACCCAATGGACAAATATAAAGAATGAACCTCAAATGAAGGAATGGTACTGTTTGGTAATCTATACACTGTGGCCATTGTTGTTCAGCAAATTTTCTTCCTCATTCGACATGTCACTCAGCTGAACGTTCGATTTGGAGTTCATTTTATTCCACTCCTTCTCTACACGGAAAAAGACCCATTGGAAGCGGCGGAGCATCTCCAAGGCAGTTATAGCAAACACCGTAAGGTAGTTATGGCGGAGATGGGCGGACAGCTTGTACGTCCACGTGCATCGCAGGATCAAGTTGCTTCCTATTACCCAAAAATAAACCTGCACAAAAATTCCAATTATACAAAATTAACCTTCTGGATACTTAGAATCCTTCATAGAAACTGAACAAGTCATTGTCAACGAGTGCAGCCCGGATTTTCTCTTCATATGCCATTTTGCATCCGCCGTGTGGATACATACTTCAGTTTACATGGTACAAGCAAAAAGATCAATCCAGGTTATGAATGCAACTCTAGTATAATACAATAGGCACATCCTTACCCATTTCCGTCCATATAGCATGTGTGAGAGGAGATCAGGCTTGCTGAACTTAAAAATCCGAGTGAAGCCACTGGCAGAACAGAAGATCAAAATAAGGAGTAAATTACAAGACGCGCTTTTCAAGTTTTGTCAAAGTAAAATGTCATACACATGTTTGGATAGCATCCTTTACAAGCATTGGTAATAATTAATAGAATATATCAATTAATAATGGTCATACATAATAATCTCACAACTTTGCAATAACCCTCCAATACTTCTATACATGGTTACTAATTTTAAACTCACAAATTCTAATGTTAAAAATTATTTATTATTAAGGGTTAAGATGTGTCAACAGACTTGAATGTTTTATTTACAGAAAAAAAAAGAAAAAAAGAAAAAGAAAAAGAAAGACAAATGTTTATGCAAGTGAATGTCCAAGGACACAATAATCTTACTTGCCAATAATTTAAAATAAAATAAATAAAAAATAATAATATTAAGCCCAATAATCTAAATGGCTTTAGAATATAATTAATATCTCCGTAGCAGAAACCAGCGGAAAAAATGAAAAATCAAGCTCTATCAGTAGTGCATCAGCTCTTCTGATGGAGGGTAACTTCAAGAATTAGTCAGCAGAATCAAGTGAAAATTTCCACATATTATTAAACATTTCGAAATATAAATTAAAAAAAGGACATTCCCACATACCTCAAATCCCAATCTCGTGTCACATCCCAGTAGAAAGAGTACAAAGAGTTCAAGACACTCGAGAGAAGCCACAAAGGCCGATAAATGTTTGTCCACCTATCAGGGATGACATGGTATTTAAGGGCTGAAAGAAAAATCACTGGTACTGCAGTCGAATATTTTAAAGCTGAAACCATAAACAAACAAAGTTATCAATAGTGCAGAGATACTAAGGCAACAAAGCTTTTTGCATTATACACCCGGTTCATAATCAATGAATGGATACACAGTTTGGTATATCAAAGCTGCTAAAAGCTTAAGAAATAGCAATTTTTTTAACAAGAATCACAACAGTATAAAGGGCAGTAGTCAATTAATTTTTTCTGTCAAGCAGAAATTCTGACACAAGATCCAACAATAAAAGATAAATTTTATAAAAGCAAAAGCAGAAGAAAAACAATATTTAGCTTTAAGAGAACTAAGAAAATGTTTTCTGTAAGTCCCTTTTTTAATAAAAAAATTTCTGTTATCAGAAAACAATTTTCACAAACAAATGACAGCCTCTTACTTCCGAAAGAAAGGTCAGGGATTCAAGTCTCAGAAAGGTGTGTGTGAGTACCAACTAGGAAAAAAAATGTCAGCCAAAGGAGTATTCAAAACTGTTCTCTGTTTTCCAATTCGCTGAAAACAGAAAATTGTTCTTAAAAAAAAAAAAATCATGTGTATTCTAATATATCTTCTGATCAACCTTCCTATTAAAAAATTCAAATAAAATAATAAATGAATCCATATGCATTATAACTACCACCAAGAAAAATAGTTATTGCAGTAGTTATTCCAATAATATGAGAAGGAAGAACAACACAGATCCCACAAATTGATAAAAGGAGAGAAAAAAAAAAAAAAAAAAAGGCCAAATGAATCTTTAATGTCTAAAACAGGAAAGTGGCACCACTGTTGTGGCAAAGCTAGAATATTAGTACACTCAACTGCTTTCTCTCAAGTTTCAACATACAATGCATATCTATGACCACAACAATATTCCAATCAAAGTAACAAATTTAAAAGACACCAAAATAATTTCACTATGAGACACTAGTTGAATTCGACTTTGTAATATGCTACCAAAAAAATTGAACAGCATCAAAAAATGTTAGACGGAGATGAGTCACATGTGCCAATATTCACTTACACTCCAAATTTGTTACCAAGATGAGAGTAAAAGAAAGTAAGTTTGGATCTCACATCCATTCTTGGTTTGAACACGTCTAAGATTCAATTTTACTCCACTTACTTGGCAACCAAACCAAAAAAAACATCAAACTCCATCTCACTTGGCAACCAAACCAAAATTCACGAAAAAAATCATCAATTGTCAATAACGACTAGAAAAATTTGCAAGTAACCAAGAAGTTTTACCATTAAATAGAGTAGTTTTTTCCCTGGTATCCTTGTATTGTCGAAGACATTGGAAAAGACGAAAAAGATAAGGCATAACAAGAACTACAGGAATTGCAACGGCGTGACTGCCACAAACAGAATCAGCTTCAAACCAAGCAATTGTGGCAACCTGCACAATTTTAGGAACCATTTCTTAACAAGATAGAAACAAAGTTGAAGAAATCCATTTACAGACGAGTGAAATAATAATTTTGCAATATACACAAGCTAGAGCAGAAAATTCAGATTTGGGTTAATTAGTAAATTTAGCAGTATACAAGGCCGAGACTTGGCGGCATGGACTGACATATCATCTTTCTGCTCCTTCAAGCCAAATTTTCATTATGATTGAAACATCATTGTCTTCATTTAGTTTCTGGTCTCTACACAAAGCATCCATGGAATTTTATTTGAGGGAGTTTATAGGTAGACCACTCTAATATTTCCACAGGGTTAGATGATATCTTGACCTATTAAGGAACTCCTAGATCCTAAGCATGTGAAAACTGCTTCCACCACATGTCACTATCATACGCAAATTTGGATAAAAAGTAAAGTAACTAACAATTATAACATGACCAAAGCATGAAATGTTTAAACCAAATAATAAAGAATAGAAGTGAAGGTAAATAACAATTATAACATGACCAAATCATGAAGTGAAGGGAAAGAGATGAGAAATTCAAGAGCGAGAGCTTAAAGTGGTCTTCCAAGTCTATAGACCACAAAAAGGGAAGAAAAACTTACAAAGGTAGACCAAGTTTCTTGATGAATAAAACACGAGTATTTTTTATTTTATTGGGAGGGGGGGTGGGGGGGCCAAAAAATAATACAAAAACCAAGTATTACATATAAATAGTGCCTTCGAAATTCATCTTACTTGACATTGTAACATTACAGGACTCAAATTTTATCTTTCTAAACCCTCATAAAAAAGAGAATAAATAAACTTCATTTTTTCTTGAACGATTCAAATAAGAATGGACACTAATAAAAATGTTCTACCCCTACCTCCTCGCTCTTTCTTAGTCTCTCATGTACATCCTGCTCCTAGTAAGAAGGCTAGAGTTTTTGTTTTTCACATTCTCATAAAAAACAAAGAGGAGAAAGTGCCATATATTTGGGAATATAAAAATCCTACAATGTGTGATTTTAATGAAACACTTCTATTGTAAAGTAGCATTACCATCAGTGATTATTAATTACAAGATGAATGCAGGAATCAACTACAAAGAAAATGTATTTTGTGGGCCCTTTAAAACTATGTAACACGCCAGTGTTATCCCAAATCTAAACTGATTAGTATAAGTTTCTCTAAAATTAAGAAGAGAAGTGTTGTTTTTTTCCTTTTTGTATTAAGTAGAGAAGAAAAGGAAAGTTTTTTATTTTATTTTATAAGAATTCATTAAAAGCATATCCCACAAAAACAGCACAAGGCCAAATAGGGCCTCTAAACCCTCAACAAATCAAAAAACTCTAAAAGCTCATCCAAGGATTTACAATTTCTTCCTAGAACCCAACAAAAAAGGGTGCTAAGAATGGAGAATTTCAATGACCCAATATGATTCTCCTTTCCTTCAAAGGATCTCCTATTTCTTTCAAGCCATAGACACCACCAAATGCACACAGGAGTAACCCTCCAAGAGCCACGAGCTTGGGCCCCCACTATACACCCTCTCCAAGCCTCAATCAAACCTCTGGTAGACCGAGGCATAACCCAATGAATCCCAAACAAAAGCCAGCAATCACGGGCCACTGGGCAATGTAAAAGAAGATGATCAACCGTTTCCTTGTCATTTTTGAACATAAAATACCAATTCACCACAATCTTTCTTCTTCGCTAGAGGTTGTCCTGGGTCAAGATCTTTCCCAAAATAGATGTCCATGCAAAAAAAGCTACTTTGAGAGGCACTTTTGTTCGCCAAACGGAGCATCCACAAAACAACGATAGAATGACTGAACATCAAAGCGCCCATGTAAAGATGGAATCCAAACAAAGAGGTTAGAATCTCCTCCACTATCTACTGATGATATAACAAATCCAAAAAAATCAATAGCATCCTCCATCTCCAAATCCTGAAACAGCCTCAAGAAGCGAACATCCCACACCGTTCTTCCACTGTCAAGATGATAGCAATCGTCCACCATGGCATGTCGATTAGAAGCAATCCTAACAAATCTAGGGAAGGTGCTAGCAAGGGAGCAATCCCCCATGCACCAGATGTCGTCCCTAGGAAAGTTTCCCAAAAGGATTTCAATTTATTGATGAAAGCATAGAAACTATAGGTTCTAAGAACTATAATAATAAGAAAAATAACAACAATAAAAGTTGAAGAAGGGTTGTGTAAAGCAGTTCTCTAGGTATCTTAATCACTGAAGAATCACAAAATGAGAGAGAGAGAGAGAGAAAGACCAAAAAAAATTAATAATAAAGAAGAATAAGAAAAACACAGAAAAAGAACAGCAGAGGATATTACCAAAGGGAAAAAGTAAAAGATAAAAAAATAAAAATAAAAAAAAAGGGGGAAAAGAACAAAGAAACCCTGGGACAACCAGATCGTGGAAGCTCCTCTATTTCCATAATGACTAACAACATTAAATAGGCGTTGGAATTAACTAGAGTTTATGGTGCAGACATAATTTTGTGTTCTCAAAGAAGTTTCAAAAAAAAATTATTCAGATTATCTTTTAGAACACAGATTTACTCCCAAATATTAGTCTTAACACTTTTATTTCCAGGTACTTCATTGGATTTTATTGAATATAATTCTCTCTTCTAATAATCAATTAGTTTGACAGAATAATTTACAGGTTGTCTTAGCAAAGGTCTTTTCTCCACTTAAAATTTACCCCATTTACTATAACTTATCTCAGCTCTTTGGGATTGGCTACATATATAATGTTTTGCTGTTACAATCTATAGAAATTCTAATTTTAATTTTGGAACGGTTTTGGAAAAAGGGAAAATAGAAGTCCTCATGCCATGAAGATCTGCTTTGCACATGATTCAAGAAACAGGGCTAGAATTCATAGAGCAGAACAATTTAACTCAAGAAAAAACCTAAAGGAAGAGCCAAAGAAATAGCTAAATTTAGTTGGCATCAAGAAGAAGAGAATTCAAAAGGGAAAAAAAGAAGGGAAAACTACACATAAGTAAAGTTAGGAGTCTTAAATAACAAAAGAGTCTATTTTTAAAGTTCATTTTTCAAATTGATTTGAATTAAACAAAATAATTACAAATGCATCAAAAATTATTGTTAAGGTCCAAAATACCTTCCAAGCTTTTACTCCAAAATACCCTTCTTAAAACTCTTCCTGCCACCCTAATGGGAGTGAGCTCTTCATCTTCAACCTCTCCCCGCCACTACTCGCCTCCTCCACATCGCCATTGACTGCGATTACTACTCCTACAACAAAAACGCCACAAAATAGGCGTAGCCCTCGTCACCATAGCCACCACTTTTGTTTTTATCAATCATAATCTTCTTCAATTGGCGGAGGTGTTTAAAGATGGACATAAGTAATGGTACCTTGTCCAATTGGTGATTCTAGCCACATATTGAACCATCAAATCCACCCACATGATTGATTCATTGAAAAAGAATGAAACTAACATGTGATTCTATCTATTGAATTCATATTAATGTGCATCAATCACGATGTCATTGAGTGAATCCATTGTTTTACTGTACTCTCAAATCACCTATATATATGTTGTGTTTATAAATCAAGAAGTATATTGAGACAAGATTAACATTCCCATATATAATTGAATTTTATTAAAGAATTAAGGAGACAACCATTCTGTAAATCAAGACCATATGTGGTCATTATTGGTTCGATGAAGATAATGGGTAATATATGAAGGTTTGTTGGATGCGATATTGAGCGGGGTAAGTGCAAAAAACACCCCTCTAGTTTGAAAAATGTGCAAATAACACCCTTCGTGTTCAAATCAGAACCCCATAGTATGAAAAGTGAGCAAATGAGGGCTTATTGTCAAAAAAATAAAGTGATATCGGCAAATAGACTAAAATGCCCTTAACCATACATATAGAAAAAATAATTAAAAAAACCTTAAAAGGCGAAATTACCTCAAAGGGCTGTGGGGATACGACACTGTTTTGATCTTTAGTCCAACAAACTCAATCATCTTCCATAAAAAACGCAACGACACATCTCCCACAAAAAAACCCCATCACCAAACCGCCCCCCATCACCACCACCACCGCTGCCCCCATCACCATCCACAACCACGAACACACCGGCAACCATCACCAACACAGCCCACCACCACCACAATCCTCTTCCCACAACTATAATAAAATATAAAAAAAAACACTAGTCACCTATCCACCGCCGTCGCCGCTGCAACACTCACCGGGAAGTGCCATCATCGATACACTTTTCAAGCTTTCTAGCTTCTTGCTGATGTTGTATTTGCGTAAATCCTCTCTACTTCGTGTTTGCTGCTGTTTTCGCTATCCTATGTGTGTCGATATCTATATATATCTCTCTATATATATGTATGAAAATATAAAATTTATGTGCGCGTGTGCAGAATTTGATGACTAGTAATTTCTATTGTAATCCCAATACAGAATCAATAAGAATTCGATTAATTAATGAATTAATAACCCAACACTTGCGGCATCAGATTTTCTTCAAACCCTCACAACCATCGCAACCACTGTGTATTCCAGCGAAACAACCACGCCAAGTGTCTCACGATCGGCAGCGGCGAGTTTGATACAGTGGAAATAACCCTTGGTTCACAATGGCGGCATGGTTCAGACCACGAAATGGAAACATGATTCACGTCGCCGGCATGGTTCAGCCTGCGACACCTGCAATCTTTGGCGTGATCCAACTCTTCCATCGTTGTCGCAACGATAAACAAATTGATTTATACTTGCCATCGTCGTTTGATCAAGACCTTCACCAAACTCGCCCAAATCTAAACTCCCAAGAACCCTAAAAAACAGGAGTATCAATCATCTCCCACAACCATAATTCGACTGTGATCTAAACTCTTTCATGAAGAGGATCGAACCTGTCGGTCACCTTACTTCGAAAATCGTCTCCCACTGTTGATGTCCCCAAAAAAAAAAAAAAGACAATCTTCCTCAACCTGGACGAGACTCTGGTTCACTCCACGCCGAAAAAGTACAATTTCATTGTCTGGCCGACATGACAGTGTAGAGAGAGTATGTAAAGTTGATGTGTAAAGATTATTGATGAGGTGTAATTTTTCTGGACAGATGGATGGCTAGGATTATCTGGGACCATAGATGAGGTGGTGCACCAGGACTACCTAATAATCTCATTGAGGGATAGTTTGGGAAGTCCAAAAGGGCAATGTTGGTATTTAGGAGCACTTTTTGGTCACATGACATGCACATGTCACTTTTTGAGGTCAGAAGCCCTCATTTGCTCATTTTTCATACTACGGGGGTGTGATTTGAACACAAGGGGTGTTATTTGCACATTTTTCAAACTAGAGGGGTGTTTTTTGCACTTACCCCGATCTTGAGCCTTATAATTCCCTAAACACCCATCATAATTCTTGCTCATTGAGAGGGGGTTTGGAGAGAGCTATCTGTTTCCAGAAACAACTGATTGAGTAGAGAGAGATGGGCAACCACCCTCTCCATCAGATTCACCATCGCTTTCTCAAGCAGCACCTTATATATACATCTTCATCACATTCATCATCATCTTTGTCTCTCTTGTTTCTTAACCCCATTCATCTTCAACACTTCCATACATAATTGAGTGTTCTTGCCCAAATTATCCTCAATTGGTCACTTCTTGGTAATTACTTTTTAAGTTTGGTCACCATTTATATTTTCTTGAGTTTAGGTCACTTAAAAACAAATCTTCTCAATTTTGGTCACCAAAATCTATTTTCTCCATTTTTAAAGTTGTCATTATCAACTATTTAATTCGTATTTGCTAGTTCAATTTGATTCTCAACTTTCTATTTTGGAATTATATTATTTTTAAAAGGATATTTTAGTATTTTGGAATAAGAGTTTGGAGGGTATTTTGGACCTTAATAATAATTCTTGATGCATTTGTAATTATTTTATTTAATTCAAACAAATTGAAAAACGAACTTTTAAAATAGACCCTTTTGTTATTTACGAGTCCTAACTCTACCTATGTGTAGTTTTCCCAAGAAAGAACAAAAAGAAAATATTGGGTCAAACAATAGTTAATACAATGACATAAACAGAGCCTAGGATGAAAAAAGAAACACTAACCTGTCGATGAACCATTCGACATACTGACCGTTCCAAATCTGAGAGCACCTGCAAAAAATTGAAAACAATTACAAGCAGGTCTAAAATTTCAGCCTTAAAATTTTAATTGTTAATAATTAATCGACCACTAAAATGTGTAGGATAACATGTATAATTTTAAGGTTTTACCAAGTGTTTAAACAGAGTGTAAAAATGCAATTGAGTTGATTTTAAATTCACAACTATATCTAGCATTTCATCTCGTACAGGATTTCTTGAACATAAAATAAGTTATCTAAAAGTAAAATCATCACACATCTATATTATAAATATTGATTAATTTTGGTTCATTAATAAACAATAAAATTGCATCTGCAACTAATTTTTTTTGATAAGTAAAATTGCATCTGCAACTAATTACAAAGTCATGTTCAATTAGACAAGAAAAGTTCTAAAAAGAAAATGTAATTCAGCGCCTGTAGAATTGAAATGAAATGTAAAAAGATTCTTTCCATTTATATTAGAGGTTAGATTAATTATTTTTCTCAGATTAGGCTTCTAAGCTAACCTATGATAACATTTTGTTTTTTTTTTTTTTTTCTTTTTTTTGGGGGGGGGGGGCGGGGGGTGTGTGGGGTGTTGGTTGAATAAGTAACCTACCAAGACATTTTTCAGACATCAAAAGCAGTTAAACATTTCCAATAAATAAAGAGTGTCTTCGAGGCAACCATAAACTGGTGTGAACAAATCTGCTTTAGCTTTTGATAATCCTCCACTCTCCTCCTATTGGAGAGTAAGAAGTCATCAAAAGCTTTAGATTCGGAAGAATTTGAACCCCTAAATGAGCATCAGTGGCTGGTTTCCAGTGAATATGGGCTATCACTAATAAAAAAAAATGTCTTCTAGTGGGGGGGGGGGGGGGCGGGGGGTGTGTGGGGTGTTGGTTGAATAAGTAACCTACCAAGACATTTTTCAGACATCAAAAGCAGTTAAACATTTCGAATAAATAAAGAGTGTCTTCGAGGCAACCATAAACTGGTGTGAACAAATCTGCTTTAGCTTTTGATAATCCTCCACTCTCCTCCTATTGGAGAGTAAGAAGTCATCAAAAGCTTTAGATTCGGAAGAATTTGAACCCCTAAATGAGCATCAGTGGCTGGTTTCCAGTGAATATGGGCTATCACTAATAAAAAAAAATGTCTTCTAGTAGATTCACCTGAACTTATCACAAGGTCAGAAATGTATTTGTACCCATGCACATATATCAACCAGTTCAGATGCTGATTCCTTCAAAACAGAACCAAACCATGACAAATGACCAACCAGAATCATCAACTAGTCAAGTTAAAGCCTTGAGACCACAAGACCCAACTCAGGAGAGGGCCGCTGGTCCATTGATCAGTAATTAAATTACGTGGCATAAAAATGAATCAAATCATACAATATTGTTACGACAAACGCAGCGAACCAAGCAACAATCATGAAACACGACAGTAAAATAAACACACCACACAAAGATTTATACGTGGTTCGGCAAAGCCTACGTCCACGGTGGAGATCCAGTGAAAGTCTTTACCATGTGTAAAAGCGGAGATTACAAGTTTCAGCCCCTTCACTCTCAATTTTGTACGAATTTCAGTGTCTCTCTCACCACCCACTCCAAACCCTAAACGCCCTTATATATTGGGCTAGAAGAGAGTACTAATTAGGGTTCACGACCCATGAGCAAAACAGGTCAAAACCACACAAAGCTCAACAAACGGATCGTCGGGTCGCAACGTGACCCGGCACCAAGTTCAGGCCACAACATCACAAATATTGCCATTTATTTTTATAATGCATGCAACAACACATAATATTAACATATTTAAAAAAAAAAAAAAAAAAAAACATTGTAGACAACCTAGATAATGAGTACAACAGACATCGGATGCATACCTTAGACATAGAGGTCAAAATATCAGCCAAGAAAAAGTCAGCAAATGATATTGCCTGTATTCACAAGAGAACCATCAACTCGAGATTAAATATGATTACACCAAAACAAGTTCAAACTCACATCAATAATCAATAAAAATAGAAATATATATTTCTTGATAAAGGGTCTAATGATCCATGCAGGTCTAGTAATAGGAGTTCATGGGATAAACTCCCAAGACCCATCAAGCTCTTTTCTATTTACTCAACGTGAGATACCTGTATGCAGCATATGCAAATGGCCTCAAATTATCTACTGATGACAAATATCATAAAGGAATGGTAGATCAAATCCCACAAGGCTGTCCAACTCATCACAGTTGTTGAACTGCCACCCTCCTGCAAAATTGAAGTACATAGTTTGTGTGGTGTTTGCATGTGTTTGGGGAAGGGAGAATGGTGGGTGGAGGGCACTGTATACCCTTGATTTTTCAGGGGGGAAAAAAAGAAGCTAGATAAGAAGTTCTAGCCATATTCGAAAGAATTAAATCATATTTATGCCCAATCAAAGAAAATTCAGCTTTATAAGATAATATAATGGGCAAAATATCAGATTTTAGATAATACAACCCCATTAAAAAATCTGCAAGAGAGAACTTATTGACATCCAAGTTTTTGGGAAATACATGGTGAAACCTATCAAACCTTCGGGCCTTGGGACCATGAAAGAAGCAATATAATTTTTTTCCCTCACTTACCACTATAAACTGGATAAATAAATTTAGAAGTCCACATTAAAGGTAAATAATTCTTTAACTTTCAAATGCTAAGATACATGAGTATTAAATTGTCATAAAGTAATAAATTTCATGCATAATCTACGATGAGAGAACCATAAGACTGCATCCTTAAACGAACTGCAAATTTATAAACTTGCCTGGAGTGGGAACATAATCCGCCAAAGAGTCCTCAAGAAGAAGTAGCGAGATGACAAGTAGAAAATATCGAAGGGGAAAATCAGTAACATTACAACAACAGCATATAAGAGTACCTGCAATAGATCATATGTAAAACTTAATACAAAATCCAACAGACAGGTAGGGATCACAAAATGTGGATTAACACTAGGCAGTGTGCATCTTTTTCAAGAATAAAGATAATCTCAATAATATGTAAAAGAAGGCACACTAATCAATACCCGCCAACATAAGTGATGGTCAAATTAAGAATGGACAAAAAGAATCCACAAAAATGCCCTCTCTAATAGTAGAATCAATCACTTCACACACTAATCTTTGGACATAGACCTCATAAACTTTCATCGGAATCATTGCACACAATAAAGGAAGCCTACTCGATACATACAAAAGTCTCTGTTCCAATTTGCAATTCTTTTTCCAAAGTAAATTCATTTGGAGGATGTTTATGAAATAACATATTATATAGTTATCAATTTCTCTCACACATTCCTGAAATTTCTAAATGCAAGTAATTTGAACAGTTATTAACTTCTCTAGCAAATTCCTGGACTTTCTAACTGTTCAGAGAATTGCTAGACTTTGAATCATAAAATAATTATAAAATATTATGCAGAAGGTTATGATCGGAAAAGCACGATGCAGAATGCAAGATACAGTTCAGATATGTTGTATTGACTATGCTGGTTTTGTGACATTAGGATAGCTTCAACAAAAACTTCATATATAAATGCAGAAGTTATGCAGTAACAGAAGACATAAACTCATTACTACGATGTGTGAAGTCATCCAAGGAACCTTAAATTAAACGAAAATTAAACCAACAGAGAGACTGGCATGAGAGCACTGGGCCAGAGGAGATCTATGTGTGCTATGATAGTTTTCTGATGGGGCAGCAATGGAAATATTAATTGTGGCGAAAACCAACTGGGAGACCGGATAATGCACAATCAGATCACAAATGCAGAAAAGGCACTGCATAGCCAGAGAGCAAGATGGTGGAAATTTCCCTTGTATCGAACTTCACATGGAAAAACATTGTTCAAGCCCATTTGTCAAACTCTGAGATATAGGCACCGCAAGTGTCAACTGAGAGACTGACACAAATGGAGAACGTTATGAAAATACTACATTTGTAATGATCATGTAGAATTGTGTGATAAGTGGAGATGCATCCATTGTCGATTAGAGAACGGAGAATCATCTTTCTAGAAACGGTCATGTGGTGAGTAGGCGATTGGCGTGAATCACTGCAGTGTTGCCACATGACGAGACAAAGTGATGTAGATTGCTATCTAGAAGACATAAGAGATGGAGTCAAATATCCACAAACAGTAAAGGGGGGATTTTTTTCAGAATCCTTGAGTCAGATCTTATTCCAGAAAATATGTAATCTGTCTGCAAATGAAATTCACTTTCCATATCAACCTCCAAGAAAAATTCACATATACAAGAATTTCAACAAAAATAATAATTAATTGGAGACAAGTAACCATGGGATTTATTATAACTTTTGGCCTTGTGACCCTTTTTACCTAAAAAAATGAATTTCAGGCCTCTACTGAGTATTGGAATCTAAGAAAAGTGAATCTGCATGCTCTATGAAGTATTGGAATCCACCTAGCAGGGATACTAATTACAAGGAGCCTTAAATGGTCAGACACTGTGATGACATGAAATCATCCCATCTTGCTTGGGCACCTGTTAGAATCATCCTGAGTAGGCCTAAAGATATAAAAATAAATTGGCGCTGTATACATGACCAACATATGGCAAGCATGCATGGAATACTATTAATTAAAAAGATTAATGCTATGTTTGGTTAGAGGGAAGGATTGAGGAGGGATGGATGAGAGGGTGGATAAACTAACTTTTTCGTGTTTGGTTGGAGGGAAGGGAAAAGCGGGAGGAAGCAAGGAGGGATGCTTCATCCCTCCTTCCTTTGTATTTCTCTATCCGCCCAAAATTGGGAGGAAGAGGAGAGAGAAAGAAGTAATAACTAACACGAATATCGATTTTCCATTTCTAACCTTCCTAAAAATTTGGGATAGATATAGAATTTTTAAATTTTTAAACAATGAGGGCATATTAGTAAAAATAATATAAAAACCCTATTTCCCTTCCTTCCAACCAAACAAAAAAAATGTGTCATCCCATCCATCATTTTTATCCATTCTATTCAACCAAACAAAAAGTGAGAGAGACACCTTCCATTCCCTAGGGATGCCTCATCCATCCCTTCTCCTATCCCTTCCATCCCTCCAACTAAACGAAGCATAAAACATTAAGATGTTAGTACTATTAAAAGTATAAGAACTGTAATTGTATATTTTATTTTGTGAGCTTCATCTTCCAAATTATAAAATTGTTTGTGTAGAAAACAAGATACAATCAAAATTATTTATGTTCCACACATACATTGACATATATGTGTGTGTGTGTGTGTGTGTGTGTTGCATACTCATGTCCCTGCCCAACTTTTATAGGATCTGCCATGACTATCCATTTAGGTCGCCTCCGTGTCTGTCCCTTGTTAATATCCATGCTGCATGGATTGGAACTATAACATTTTGAAAAGTTCAAAATCCCCCTTAACCACTTGGTCTTAATGCATAATTTCGATACTAATCATACTCAACAAACTTTTAGGCCCCTATAAAGCTGAAGTGTCATGGGAACTTCAAGTTGAGCAAAAATGAGAAACTAAAACGGTTGTGAAACTGTTTGCATGCATCAAAATTGAAAATCAAAGGCCAAAGCACCATGCCAATTTTCAATGCACACACTCCATCTTCAAATAATGTTATCTTTCCCTTTCCTAATAATAATAATTCCATCTCAGTTGCTGAGAAAATAAATGCATCTCGGTTCAAAGGACCATAAAAACTACCCTGTCCATATCTTCAGGGACAAGTAAATGAAAAGGCAGATGGTGAACAGATTACCCCAAGTTCTATACGTACTAAATCAATTCATAGTCAAATGCTGACAAGCAACATCGGATGTCCAAGTAAAGACAATCATAACCGATTCAATTGTACAACACCTTGACTTTTTACAAGCCAAAAACCTTCACCTTATTTGCAAATATATAAAGTGCCTAGGAGCAACACAGATCACCATAGACTTCAGGCAATCAGTAAGGGTGCCACCTTAAAAGTTGGTATTGTATAAAAGAGCCTAGATTTCAACCTTGCACCATGTAATTTAGAATCACTTTGTCTATAGGTGAGCAAAGCATGCTTCCAAATCCAGCCAATAACAGAATTGAACAAAAACTAAGTTATAAAAAAGAAAATTAAAAAATAAAGCAATTTTAGTAGATACGAAAAAGGAAAAAGATAGGCTGAAACAACAAATATAGTAAACAGAAGCATCTGTCTGCAATGTATGGGAGAGGAGGCATCTATTACACTGGTTGGAATGCAGCCAATGAAACTTCTCCGTGAGAATAAAGATAAAGATATGCAGTCATGCTAGTTGGAACAATGATTGTCATCCAGGTGGCACACTGCAATTAAGAACATTGTGAGCAAAATATTTTCTATAAACGAGAGCAACTAGAATAACAAAACAAAAAAAAGAATAAATGAACTCTGTCATATGCACATTAAAGTCGGAATCATCAGGCCATTGGCCCAGCTGGTATGAACTCTCCTCCCCAAAGGAAAGGCTATCTGTTAGAGCCACATATGGGGCATTGTGGTGTGTGTGTGTGTGTGCACTGTTGATTACCTACCCAAAAAATATATATATATAGTCGAAAGTCAAAATCAAAATAAGGATAAATTTTTTTTGTTTTTTATATGACTGCAGAAATCGATATATAAAATAAGAGAGCAATACAAATAAGCAGCTCACGTAAGAGAGAACCACCATTTGAAATGAATTTTTTTTTAGGGGGGTAAAGTAACCTTGGATGTGTTGTAGCAACTGAATCAACATATTTTGTACGCCCTTCATTAACTATGTAAATAACAATCTACAATGCCTTAACACATGGAAAGGGACGCCATCAGCTTTCTACTCCCATAAAAATATCCTAGCTTTATTCCAAAAACAAAGACAGGTGAAATCTTCTAAAGAACTCTGCATAGTTTAGTTAAGTTTTTAACTACTGGACAAGCAAGCATTGAACACATTAACCCCCCAAGATCTGGACGTGAGAAGGCTGCTTGTGAATTTGTGCAAGTGTCATATGAAACATATGTACTACCTCCCTCCCAAAATAAATGACCTTTTGTGGACTCCGACCTTTTGAGGAACATGTATTATATGCATGTCTTTCTTGGAATTCCAAAACTAACCTCCTGTAGTATTGAGATTTACTTTATTAATTGAGAAATTATAAAAAAACATATAAGGACAATCTTGGGAAGTTAAAGACTTTCATACATTGAATTTCAAGTGAGACACATATAGTGGAGAGACTTGGTGAGGGTGTATAGTGGAGAGCCGAGTCAGAGATGCTTGGAGGGTCACTCTCCTTTGTTTATGGTGGGGTTTGTGGGGCGAGTGAAATAGGAGATCTTTTAAGGGAGATAAATCTCCAATTTGGTCTCTTAAATACAATATTTTGTCTACTTTAATTTTTTGGGTTTTGGGGTGAAATTGTGAATCGATGGGGGATCTTTTGGATTTTGTGGATAGCTTGAAACTTTAGTGCCGTTTTAGGCGTCCTTTGTATTCTTTTGGGTTCCCTCCCCTTTTTGAGGGCTTTCAATGATATATTACTTATCCAAAAAAAATGCGACACTTATTTTGTGACATCCAAAAAAGGAAAGATGGTCACTAATTCTGGGATGGAGGGAGTACTCATTTATGTGTTTGTTGGTACTCACACACCGGCTTGAACCCCTGACCTCCCTTTGAGAAGTAGGGGCTTAGTACTGCTGGGCCACTGGCCCGTTAAAACAACGAATTATGGTTCATGTATCCAACCATAAATAGTTGAAACAAAACCACCTTAAGTTGAGTTGAGATAGTTAAAAAGAGACCTGATAAGCAAGAATTACATAAATGCATATTATCAGAGCATGTTGGCATCAACTGAGAGTCTATAACTACTAGATAAACAACTTCGTATTTGTCCAGTCAATGCACTAGCTGTAAATACAAGTACCTTCCATATATCTCGATGAGTGAGGTAATTTTGATCAAGGTCAAAAATTTTAGCATAACTAATATTAGTCTGAGCAAAGACCCATAGATTTACCCCCCAAAGCCAAACCATCATAGTCTGCAACATCAAAACCGGAAGTACATGAGTTAATAAAAGGAAAAAATGTTACAAACATTGACAAATGAAAAGCTTCACTGACCCCAAGAAGAAGAGGATTATAATACAAAAATGCCTCGTATAGAAACAGATCCCGCAAGTCTACACTCATTCTCATAACCGAATCCCATCCAATCTGCCAATTTCCATTAGGTACCCAGTTATTAAATGCTTACAAAAGAAATCAAATCCAACGGTTTTTAAGATACTACTCTTACCCCACCAAAAAAAAAAAAACAATTGTCAATAATAATTTCAAATTTTTATTAAAAAAAACCTAGAACTTACCTTGCAGCAACTGAAACCCCAGATGAAAAACAACAGTACCTGGACATCAACCTAAATTAAAATCTTGCAGAAATATTCAAGCACTGGAAAGGTGAATATTAAATCTGATGCTCAAAACCAAACAGACATAATGGATAATCAAAACAAAAGACAATGTCAGAAAAAGGGCCCAATATACAGGTTCAAACTGCAAAGTAGCAAAAAATAGTGATTTATACTACGCATAATGATAACAACCAGGGATCACTTAAATCTAATATCTAGTCTGTGTTTAGAAAAACCATGTGACATAATTTTTATTGTAACAAAACGAAGTTACTGAAACAATAAAATACACCTAGTGAACACAAAAACTAAAGTCCGTACCACATGTGCTGAAATTAGTGAGTTCTCCATAAATGTAGGATTGTAACAAGGGTCAGTGCTAAGCCAATATCTATTTGCAATAATCTTAGATGAAAATACAAAAGACTTCCAAAACGAGATTCCATGGTGCATGATGTTTGTAGATGATATAGTGCTCCTAGACACGTCTAAAGAGAACTTGGCAAAAAATGAGTGGAGTGACTAGGAGAGGTAGGATCACTCATGAAAGTGTGAGAGAAAAATTAGGGGTGGCTCCCATTAGGGAGAAAATTTGAGAGAGTAGACTTAGATGGTTTGGACACTTACATCAGAGACCTAGAGACACGGCACCGATCAAACTAGGAAGACAAGTTGTCATAGAAGGTAAGAGACGGAGAGAGCGACCAAAACTAACATGTGATGAGGTTATTAAAAATGATGTTAAAAAATTAAATATAGTAGGTGAAATTACACATAATAGAAAGGCTTGGAGAAAGAGAATTCATGTGGCCAATCCCATTCATATGGGATAAAGGCAAGGATGATGATGATGATTGGCCTCACCATTTACAGGCATGGCAACCCATGGCATATATATCATTATTTCTCTCATTCGTGAAAATTAGTAAAGAAAATGAGTGCTCTTTTTCCCCCATGAAAAGGGGTGGGTGGCTCTTTGGTAGAGAATTTGAACTTAATTGCCACTCCAAACATATTCACCCTCAAAGGGAAAATATATAGAAGGAGAATCTATAATTTTATTGGAGATATGGTCTCCCAAGCCAAGATTTACAAGGTAAAACATCATGCATGAAGTGCACCACTGAGGTTTCAACATCCCAAAAAAAAAAGTAAAAAGGCAGCAAATTTAGAAAATATGGATACAATCCCGACTATCCTTTTTCATAAGTTGAATAGAATTAAATAAGGCTTCCAAAAATAGATTCAATGATAATAAATAATGGAACCTTAAATCTCCAGAGAAAAACAGGGGATGGCATCATTGCAGTGCTGCTCAATGTTGTGCTCACACTCTTCATTTCATTTCCATCCATTGAATGCAAAATACTCTCTTCAGCACTATTTCCAGCTTCGCTTGAACCTGACAGATATTATACGAGTTTAGGTGTGCACATAACATATCCACAACAAAAAACCGAAAAAAAAAAAAAAACAAAACAAAAACCAAAAGCCAAAAATGTGAATAAAACATGCATATCACAAATAAAACAAAATAAAATAAAACTTTTTCTCACCAAAATCAAAGACAACAGGTCTGCTTCCAGACTTTCGTAGATGTGGACTATTGGTAGGTACTGCAACAGGACCTCCAAACATAGATAAGATACTGCAACAGGACCTCCAAAAAACTTATGTTGCTGAGCCTTTACTCAGAACCTGCAATGACAAAAATAACAAGGAAAGATAAGATGAATTCTGGAAGCAACCGAAAAAAAAGAAGAAGAGAGATTCAGCAGAAACCTTGAATTTTTTATAAGCAAAATTAATCCACTGAAAAGACAAGAACTCCTTTAAATCAAAAGACCATGAAGAAACATTATTTAAGAACTAGTAAGCACGATTAGTATGTTATCAGAGCTTGTTAAATGTCAAAAAAATTCTTTCAAAAATTTTGCTTATAATGACCACATGGGCATATATGTGAAAATACTAAAACACTTTCTTATATATCCTAATTCTTGTATGGATTTAACTTAACAGAATATAATGTTGTTGCTCATAGAAATACATATGTGAGATTTAATATTCCACATAGAATACCCAAACCTAGTAGCACTAACTGTTGAGTACAACAGGATGAAATGCTGCATAAGAATTGAAATGTTTACATTAAATTTGTATGCTTTTTGTTTGGTTACACTAAGGTGCTTGCCACCACTCAAGGTTGATACTAATCCCCACAAATGCACGAAATCAGCTACAGAAAGCTACCTGGTTTTTGTATACTTGAATGATGCAAGTCAAACCTAACTATGACGATGAAAGCATAACAATATGAGCAATTAGCAAATAATCCCAATAATCCATCCTTGAAGACCAAATCATATAAACCTTATTTCTTACAACTTATGAGGCCCTCAAAAACTAACAACAGGCTTCAAGGTCTCTTGAAGAAAATGTTGAGCAAGTGTTAGCAACTAGATAATTAAGGAAATCCTCCTCTTTGATGTTAATGGTCAATTTCTTTTCTCACTCTTAATCCCAAAACAAATAAGAAAATAGTAGCATAACTATGAAGACAGTTTAAATTAATTAAGTTTCAGAAAAAAAATTTAAACAACAATGTCTCGGAGTTGAACTAACTTTCTATCTTTTATTCACCGGAAAGAATAATTACTTAGCTGAAAAGTGTTTCACTGCCATATATGGGCTGGTCTAAGTTTTGATAAACAATACGTCAATGTAAGCTCCAAAGAAGTTTAAGGCAATTAAGTCATTAAAAAGGTCATAGTTAGCCAACACGTCACAGGTTTGTATTACAACAAAAAGCAGCAACTAGGTCAAGAATAACTTCTATTGCAGGCCAACGGCACAGGCTTCCACCTTTTGATGTTTGGCCATATTGTCAAGTAACTTAAGCATTAGGGTTGTGTTCTCAAGGCATAAGCCTTGAGCCTGTACTTTAAACCAATTCTTACAAATTTGGTTTAAATTAGGTCAGACTTTAATTTGAACACAGGTAGAACAATTCTTATACAAATTTGGTTAAAAATAGGTCAGACTTTAATTTGAACACAGGTAGAACTAGTTTGGGAGATTAAGTTCCAACACAAAACTAACCACCTTTTTTATTCTCACAAAGCATTCACCCTAAAGACTTGAACCAGCATTGTCACACTTAAAAATCGAGTTTTTGCTTGGATGGAGGATTTGGGGAGGATCCTGACCATTGACAATCTGAGAAGGAGACGACAGATTATTGTCATTGGTGTTGTATGTGCAAGCCAGCCGAGGAGTCTGTGGATCATCTTCTCCTTCATTTTCCCAGAGCTATGGATGGTTGGGATATGCTTTGCACTATTTTTGAGATCCAGTGAGACATGCCTGAGTCTGAGGTGGGCCTGATTGACTCTTTGGGTAGCTATCGTGTTTGTCCCCAAGTTAGAGATGCATGGAGGGCATCCCCCCTTTGCTTGCAGTGGACTCTTTGGAAGGAGAGGAATATGAGACCCTTTGATGGGGTGGAGTCTCCTTGTGGGGTGGTTAAATATTCTGTTCTTACTTCTTTATTCTTTTGGGTCCAGAGTTCTAAATGTAAATCTATGGAGGATCTTTTGGCTTTTGTGGATAGCTTGAGGCTATCGTTTTTGTGCAATTGTTCCGGGCTGTGTCCCCCTTTTGGGCGCTCTTCAATGAATGCTTATTTATCAAAAATAAAATAAACTCATTCTAATAAATTTCGAACTGTTACCATCAGATCAATCAATTGCTACTATTTAACATTCATGTTATTTCTTTATCATTCAAAAACATATAATGTGTACAACTCTGAACTGAAGTCACCCAACGATCTCAACCATGGAGCAGGCTAAAATAATGAAATCATTAGTAGTTGTAGTTCCTTGATTATAAAGGACTGGCCTATCATACAATATACCCAAGGGAGGACATAGGAGGTTAATAATAGATGGATCTTCTATGAGTTACAATAGTAATGTGGTCATTTTTATGTCACCTAAACTAACAATTATTAGAACAATCAAGAATCAATATTGTGCTTGAGACATTCGCAAACATAATACATAAATATTAATAAGTAAAATTGGATTAAAAAAAACAAGCGCCAAAGGATGCAATCCATATATACGTGATGGACATAGGAACAAGGAAAAATAGATACATATGTACACACATACATAACAGATTAAGTTAATTTACTAAATGGGGCATAAACCATATACATTTTTTTTGATAAGTAGGGGCACAAACCATATACATGTGAGTCATGTGACACATTTATACCGACAGCTAAAACTGCAACGACTATAAAAAAATATATGTATATATATGTGTGTGTGGGAAAATATGTATATAGGAGCGGATAGCTATCCATTATTCAAATTAATATATTTATATATTAAAAATAATTACATATAGATGATACATCTCTAACAACCTCCCTCCTCACATCTATTTCTGATAACCCACCCTCTCACATTCTCCAAATTGTTCATGCCTCTCAGATTGTTAATAAACACAAGTATTAAGATCCTGATTAACTAGGTTGAGTAATTAAGAAATTATTGTTTCTGAGAAGAGTTAGAGAGGGAGAAGGAAGTCTGTAAAGGAGTCAGGAAGAAGATCAGACAAACAAATAACTAGGAAGAGTTGAAGTGGAGTCAGGTAAGTTATTTCCATATGCGTTCTTAGTCAGGTTGAGCAAATAAAATATTAGCTAACATTGATAAATTTTGGGCAGAAAGAGTTTCAGAGACAAAGGAGAATTGGGAAAAGTTGTTCTTATTTATCAAAAAAAAAAAAAAAAAAAAGAATTGGGAAAGTAGTGTTAGAGGAGTATACTAACAACAGGCAAGTGATTCGTATCTTTTCCTATATTTATAACGTTGTAGGATTTAAGTGTTGATGTAATGATTCAATAGTTTTGTGCAGCATCTCGAACACGAACTTAACTAGTGTTTAATCCATGATATATTAGTTTGGTTGTTGTCTGGAGTTACTGTTAGATAGAGTATTTGTATTGAAGAATATCTCTCACTGTACATGTATGGATAGTTTACATGTAGTTTGATGCCTATGCAAATCATATTTGTCTTGGAGTAGTAGTATTTTTTTAATTTAGTGCTTAATTAAGTACTGATGTGTAGATAACTTAGACAAATATATTACAACACATATTTATATAGGTGACTAGGTTGAAATATAATTAAAAGTACATGCCCAGTACTTATTTATAGGTATACGTGTATGTGTAAGCATGTTAACAGTAATATATGCATACATTATAACTTATAAGTAGTGATTGAATTTATGACGGTGTTCAGATTTTTGCTTCAATATGTGTGGTGTTATTACTTGTGATTATGGTATACTGAATATGGAAGATCAATGTTAGAATCTTAGTTTAAAGAATTAGTGATGATGAGAGATGGTCCTACAGTACTATTCTTATACTATTTGGTTCCTAATTCCTTTATGTAAACAAGAGGGAGAGAGAGAATAAGTAAATTTGAGCAAGCTACTTGATGAAATTGAAGATTAGGAAACATAGTGTGTCTACATCTAGAGACTTTCAACAAACTTCCGTTTGGTTGCTAATAAGAGGACTTGGAATAAAAAAAGAAATATATAAGTACATCAATTGGGTTTCTATAAAAGGAAAGCCCATCTCAAATAAACCACATCAGTATTAGGGTCAGTTGGGTGCACAAATTCTTGTTTAAGTCCCAATTCTGAAAAAAAAAAATAAATAAATAAATATTGAAAAAATAAAAATTATTTCCGTTTTCTTCCTACAACAACTTCTCTTGAACAAAAAAGCACAAAAATCAAACATTTACAAATATCAATGATCAGCAAACAAGTAAAATATATTCAACACAGCCACACACTTCCCACTATTTGTACATCTATATGCATATATACACATATATAATTACATATATTAATGTCAAAGCTACAAATCAAAATTTGCAACAATACGAGATGATGAAAGAGAGAGAGACGTTAAGGGAAAATTGAGAATTTCACAAATTGAATCTTTCAAGCTTGGATAAATGAACATTTAGTAACATTCCATAAAAAACATTCATGTTCACATACATACAGATATTGGGGGAAAAAACCCTAGAATGAGCAAAGATAAATGAAGGCCCAAAAAAGATGAGTAATTTACGAGAATTCAACAATCAATCAACCCAACTAACTTAAACCCTTTCAGCGAATTCAAAAATCAATAACTTAGCATCACAAAATATCACTTCAAAGCCTCATGAATCGTTCGACGAAAGATAAAAATTTCCAGAAACTGAATGTGAAGATAGAATTGTATACCTGTGATGATTTTGAAAGCTTTGGTCTTCAGTGAGTCGGATTTTCGGAGTTTCTGAGATTGACACAAATGGGGTTTTAAAAATGTGAGACGCAAACGAAGCATAAAAGGAAATGAAATTTACTACCAAACGTACCAGAAAAAAAAAAAAAAAAATGAGGATATACGGAGAGAGTTTTAGAGAGGGAATTTTAGAGAGAGAGAGAGAGACAGAGATGGGGTTTACTGTTAGCCACATGAATTGGTTCTGTTAGCCAAGGCCCATCGGGGCTGTCCATTAACCAAGAAATGATGAAATCTGGAAACGGATGATTTGTGTTAACAAAAAAGACAGATAATTTTATAAGAAATATATTTGGGACAATTTCAAAATATATATATATATATATATATATTTGATATTAAAATACAATATGTATATGCATAAGTTTTTGACAAGAATAGTATAATAGTCTATTAATTTTCAAAACTTAATATAATAGCCTATTTCTCTCTCTAGATATACTAAAAATTTATTTATTTAAATTTTATATTATTTTTATTTTTTGAAAAAAAAAAAATCAAAAGTATTTATTCAATATGAATTTATTTAGACTAATTGTCCTATTTAATAGAAACTAATAAAACTTGATGTGGATTTCCTTGACTAAAAACTATTATGAAAAATAAATAAATAAAAATTGAAAAGTTCAGTTGAGATATAGCTGTAGAATGACGAGGACTTTTAAAAATGCATAAAAAGTAATTTGGTGGTCATTAAAAAAGTAAATATATATTTAATAATTCATAAAAATGTATATAAAGTTTGGTGCAATAGTTATCTCAGGCCGATGAGCATGAGAATGTGGGTTCATGTCTGAGGGCTCAGTCACTTTGTGGCTTGTGCTAAATGATGCTACAAGTAACGGATGTCTCTATTTGCCCCTCCTACCATCCCATGCCTTTAAAATTATAAGAAAGTGATTGTTAAATTGCCTCTAGCAAATGAATTGCTTGTATTAAGTACATATTTTTCTCACCCAGATTGTCTTATTAATCCCAAAACTAAAACACTTAAACCATAAGTATAAAGTCGTTCCCTTCTACTGAATAATAGTCACTCCAGTTAAGGCAGCACAATTATGATTGAGTCATCATTTCCAGATCTATACCGATCCAAGTAGCCTACTTAGAGGAGATCCAAATTTCGATTTTGAGAAAAAGTAGACCTAAATGTTAAGTCAGGCATATTGGCAGACCTGATTGTGAGTGCTAATCAAATTTATTCAGATATATGGTTGTTTAGTTCAGTGTATTTTCATATACTTAAAAGGCCTCAAGGTTCAAGTATGCCCATACATGAATTTTTGTAACTTTTTAGTTCTTACAGTTCAGTAATCAAAATCAATTCACACACACAGTGTAGTTAGATTCATGGACTCATGATCTCAATTACATATTGAGCAAATACAATATCAAGTTTATGAAGAAATGAACTTGCAAAGCAATTAATATCCATGCTACACTTAAGAAATTGAGCCCTGCAGCTTAAAACTTGGAATCTCCATGACCTGAAATATTCTCTTATTTATCTTCTGGATCAGGTATCCAATCTTTCTTTTACTTTTTTCTTTTTCTTTCCCTTTTTTTTTTCTTTTCTTCCCCCCTCCTCCCCCTTTATCCCTACCACTTCAAGCACTCGAGTACAAATGGAAAACGGATTTGCTTCTAGCAATCTATTAACACTAATAAGGTAATATAAAGGCCAAGCCTACTAAAAACAGTATAGTCCAAAAGGATTAAGGTTTAGTTTTCTCTGGCCTCTTAGCAAGCAGATTATGAACCAACAAGTCATAGTTCAAAAGAACATATATGAATATATTCTGCACAGTATGCAATGAAATTCCCATAATGCATTTCCAATCTCCCTTGTACTGAAAAACCCAGTCAGATTCGAATAGGCATCACACATCGCATTATATTTAAGTAGAATTCACTATTTTCCCCATCTTATCATGCCCCGCAGCAATCAGTTGGATCTTCATACACACTTCTTTGCCCCATTCACCTAAAATCTATACCGTAGACATAGATTTTGACAATAACAGAGCACGAGGTCACAATATTCGCACAAACCAATCCTACAATTTGGATCCACTTAGACTGACCTTCTTACAAGCAAACCCAGAAGACCCATAAGAAGCAAAATTCACCATAATGTACCATTCCATGATCATAGGTCCACCTTTTCGTGGTTACTTCTATCATTCCTCTCAGACAGACCATGCCTTCAAAAATCATAAAAAGAAAGGCATCTTAAACTAAAAGACCTTTGAATCAATAGCTTTCTCAGATAACATTAAACAAAACCATCGTGTGTGTGTTCCGATTCAGCTATATAATGAAACGGATCCTTGATTTAAAATTGTGTCTCTAACAATTGCAACCCCTCAAAGATCCCAAAAAAAAAATCTAAAAACATTAAAAAAAAAGCCCATAAATTTCAAAGATCTTTTGGTAACTAAATCGAAGGGATTCAGAAAGCTTACCTTCATCTGCGTTTGGTGCTACGACACACAGATCTTTCTTCGCAGGGGTTTACGAAAAGCAAATCTGAGACAGAGAGTTATGGCTAATTACAGAATGATATTCATTTCGACAAATACATGTAGAGAGATCTGAAACCCTAAGGGTGTGTTTGGTAGGGTTAATTTACAATGAGTGAAATTGGATCAGACAATTGAGTTGGTATACAACTATACAGTGTATACGAACATTCAGATCTTGTTGCGGACAATTTTGTAAATCAAAAAATTTCGACCAAGAATCACTTTTTTTTTTTTTTTTAAGCAACTGATATTATGGTAATTTACACATACCTCCACAATGGTTTGCCATAATTATACGGGTCTCCGCTATAGTTTGAAAATTTACTCGGACCTTCCTTAAAAATAAAAATGTCTTACATAGACTTCCTTTTTGTTAAAGTCAACGTCAGTCAATGACGAATTGTGCTGATGTCATCTAATAAATTAAGTAAAATATCCATAATATCTTTATCCCTACCATGTCAATAATATTATTAAAAAAGAAAAAAGAAAATAATGGACCAAACTACCACTATATATTATTTAGTTCTTCGTTCGGTCCTCCATTGGCCACCTGGAATTCTTAATGAAACCTTTTATAAACAATAGATTGAAAAAGGAAATTGGATTTGATAATCAAATCTTATTTTCTTAGCTTAAGTTAAGATCATCAAATTGGTAAGTTCAATCAAATTAATAAGGAATTAGTTTCTTTTGTAATTCCGTAGCGGCAGTGGTTGTGGGTAAGAATGGTGGTGGTGATGTCGACACAGGTTGTGGTGGTGTCGGTGGTCATTCTTTTTTGTTGGTGGTGGTTGTGCGTCGGCGATGGTGGTGGGTTTTGTCGTGGAGATGTGGTGGGTTTTGTCATGGAGATGGTGGATGATTGGCCGAATCTGCAGCGACGACGATCTATGTTCGCGATGGCGGCAGCGAGGGTCTGCAATGGCCGGTAGCGACCCCTAATCACACAACATTCACACCCAATCATCTTTTTCTACTCAGCCCCTGAATCACGAACCTTCGATTCCTGAATCTATATCCTCATTCAATTATTGAAACTATGGATTTGTTTTAAATAAGTGAATCGAATAAGTGAATCGAGCTCGAGCCGAACTATGAGGCTCGATTTATAAATGAGCCGAGTCTAAACATCAGTATACTCGACTTATTTGTTCATGAACCATTCACGAACTGGGCTCGATAATGCGTTCACGAACATACTTGTTTATAATATATACAAAAGTTGGGGTCAAATTGTAATTGAATGTAGCACATTTATATGTAGCTATATATTTATGTTGGGGTCATATTATAATTGTATATAGAGTTTGTGGTTATTATGCAAATAGGCCTTTCTTGTATTTGTATATAAACCCTTTTATGTTTAAGGTTGATGGAATTTGCGCCTCCATCTGTTCTCTCTCTCCATCATTGACATCCAATCTCCAACCACCAACGATCCCCAACCATCAACGAAGAACAGCAGTTTTAGAGATTCACCGGGATCTCACTCCCTCATCTACCCTCCTTTCTACCTCCGGCATCCCTTCCATCTACCACCGGTGGCTTCATCGCCTTCGTCCATTACCACTCAACCCTCCTATCTCCTCTTCTATCTCTCCTTATATATATATACCAACCTCCACCGGTGCTACCATCGGCCCTCTTTTTTCCGACCGTTCTATCTCACGCCGTCTGCTCCCTCTCTCGTCATTTCTGTCTTTTTCGGTGACCAAGGTAATTCCTTGCCGGTCATCATCGTTGTGCTGATTTCTGGCACTTAGAGTTGCACTATGGGTCTTGCGGGATGTTTGGATTCTCCCTCGGCATGTGTCTAGGTCCGATTATAGTTGGCGTCACTGTGTATCATCGCCCACGAGTTATCGAGTTCCCGGCTCGAAACTCGTCAAACATAGCTGAGCCGAGCTCGAACTAAATTTTCTAAGCTCAACTCGAGCTCGAGTTGAGCTTAAGTAGCCTATTACCTGACCGAGCCAAGCTTGAGCACACCATTACTCGACTTGACTCAGCACGTTTACAGTCCTAATGGTGATGGTGGTTGTGGGGTGAGAATAGTGGTTGCGATGAAGATTGTAGTGGTTGTGGGTGATTGGTGGTTGTGCAGCGGGAACAGTAGTGGTTATGGGATGGTGGTTACATGGCTAAGTGGTTGTAGGGGTGAGAACATTGGTTGCAATGAGGATTACAAGTGGTTGTGGGGGAGAGTGGTGGTTGTGTGGAAACAATGGTGGTAGTGGGGTTGATTTGCAGCGATCTCTGGCGATAAGGACAGCGATCTACAGTTTTTGAAGATGAAGATGAAGATGGAGACAGATAATATGTGTATGTATAGATATAATAATTTGAGGGTAAATGAGTAAATTCATCATTTTTACGTACACTACTTTATATATATATATATATATATATTATTTATATAGGTACTTTAGTCATTTATCATAAAAAATTGAGGGCATTTTAGTAAATTTGACACGTCCGTTAGTGCAGTTGACAGTCCATAACACATAAGAGAGGTCCCTGTAGGATATTTTCATTTTAAGGGAGGTCCGAGTAAATTCTCAAACTACATGGGAGATTCGTGAAATTATGGCAAACCATAGGGGAGGTTTGTGTAAATTACTCTACTATAATAGGATAATTACAAGAGTGATAGTTGGCCCATGGCCATATACAAGCAAGAATCCTAAAGAAAGGGCCCAAAACAAAATAATAAATCCAGTCCAATACTTAGACTAACAACCAAAGTTAACAATTAGTCTAACAGTTAATAGAGGTTATGAGACCAACATTTTCGGTTATGTCCCTAAATTGTGGGGTTGAAGCTATGCACCGATGCATATTAAAGGGAAATCAATCCGGCAGCCTTGGCGGAGGACGGTGTTGGCAACAAGCGGGAGAGACATTCCAATCCTTAAGGATGGTTGAGGTTGCAGCACAATCCCTGAGAAGACCTAAGTTGAGTATTGAAGTAATGGTATAGCAGATTTTGCTCAATCCCTTTGAGAGGAGTTCTTTCCTTTGAAAATTATATTATTCCTTTCCTCTCATGTGTTGTAAACGATAGAGGATGTAACAACCCAAACCTGGAAGTCCAGATCGCTAACCGGGTCATATCCCAACCTGGAGACACCTAAGGGTAAAATGGTCATTTTAAAATAAATGAAAGGAGTGGGTTGACTCTAAATGAGTCAAAGGATATCCGTTTAGGTCATCACAACTATATAAACCCATTTCATATGGTTCAAGATGCAAGAACAATATTTTCACATGATTAGCCCCTCCCGGTTTAGAAGATTCCTGGAGTAGTCCGCACTAAAATGGTCCTAACTTCCTCTATAGTTGGAATTTTTTAGTAAGGTTAGTATAATTGGAAAGATGACTCAAAATCCTTGAATTTAGATTCAAATTTGGCCCAATTTGATTAAGAAATTAAGGAGATATAACTGTTTGAAGTCGGGTCAGAATCTAGTGTGCTACAGGTGTCAGCCAGCTAAAATTATGCATCAGCTAGCCGAAACTGAAGGGCAAGCAGGCTAAAACTTCTAGTGATGCTAACTCTCTGTTTTGGCCAAAAATGAACTGTCGACCGGCTAGCTTATGTCACCAACCTGCTGACACTCCCTGTAAACTGAAAAATGGCTACATCCTGGGTACCTAGGGCTCGAACACACCCATGGCTCACTTGTGAGCTTAAAAGTGAAGTAAGCCTGCCCCAAAGCATCCAATTAATAAGGGAAAACATCCACTACTTAACATCATTTCATTCATACAGTCATCATGGTAAACTTGATACGTCAATTGTAGTTAAGTATGATTACATCATTAAGTGGTCATATGGATATATGTTCAAAATAATTATGTATAGCCATTCAAAATACATATGAAGTAGTCTAAAAGAATTTAAACACAAGTCTAGACCTTTAAGGTCACATTTACAATGTTTTACTAAAGAAAATTCATCAACTAACCCTTAGTTACAAAATTGTCGAAAGATGTTCCTGTCAACCCTAACTACACATGTAAGGGTTTGTCCTCAACCACGTCGTCGCCATAACCAGAAAAAATGTTAATAGAAGGGGTGATCATGGAGGCTCAGTAGAAGTCGCCTTAGGCATCAACTTTAGACTCCCTCGAGTCACACAACACATAATGGGATAAAAGAGAACGGGGGTCATGCATTGGGGTATTTAGCATGTTTATAATATGAAAGCAAGTCCATCAATATCAATCTCATAACTCAAATGCAATTGTGCAAGAAATGAAATGAAATGTACAAAACTCCCTAACCTTGGTCTTTACCGACTCAAACTCATATTTTGAAACTGCTAACCGACTTTACCGAGGCGAGATTAATAACAATCCCTGGTTCCAAATCCGGCAACCATTTAAGGCATAAAATCAACTTTTTCATGTCTTAAACCGGCACATACTCCCTCTAGGTCGAGTTAGCACTGGACTTGCGAAATCCGGTTCTTTTGTAAAAACTTCCCTTTTTGCAAAAACTTTTTTTTTATTTATAAAAACTTCCCTTTCAAACCCTTTTTCATTTCCCTTCCTGCTTTGCAATGCAATGCATCATTCACAATGATGGAATTTGTGTGGCATTCTCAATGTAAGAGCTATAAAAATGGCAATTCATATAATTTAACTATAAGCATAACATTCACAATCAAACAACTATAATCATGGCATTTTTACTTCACACAACAAGAAGCATGTTTTTTCATACAATTCTCATCATTTCCATAATGCTAGCAACTTTCATATAGCATAGAAAAGTACTTATTCATTTCATACAAGCATTCTTAGAATATAATATCATGCCATCATTATCCAACTAACAACCAGTCATAACCTTGCATTTAAAACATGAATTTTCCTAGATGAATAACCAATATACTTAATGAGAAACAAAGTATAAAGCATTAGGAAAACCCCTAGCTCAAAGAAGCTAGCCAAACAAGGCCTTAGAAATCCCTAATTTTCGAGCTTCTCCAAACCCTAGCAAGATTGGTTTCAAAAGATAACCCTCTCGAAGCTTTTCCATTTTCCCTTCTATGGCATTTTCAAAATCTTAGCCTAAACCTCCCAAATCTTGTCTTGAAACTTGAAGACATATATGTATAAATAGATATATATATATATAGAGAGAGAGAAAGAGAAAGGTTCGAGAGAGAGAGAGAGGAAAGTGCCTA